GGCCAGGGTCGGCCGGAGCTCGGGCGCGGGGCCGCAGCCGCAGCGGGGGCGCCTGGTGCTTCGGACCCGCGACTTGGGGGCTGTGGGGTCTGTGAGCCAGGGTGTCGCCCAGATGGGCATGATCAGGCCCCGAAATGCTTACCGAGGCGGTGGTTTCAAAAACAGGATTTGGAATAGCCCAAGTTTCCCCCTTTGAAACGGGAGAGGGTGGGTTTCGAGCCTGGGTAGCCCACGCCGGCACTGTAGGGCGAGGAGGGACTCACTGCGTGGCCTGTGGAGCCCGGAGTGGCCCCGTGGTGGGCTGTCCCCAGGCCACATTTTCCCTCATCCGCTGGGAGACTGCCAGAGCCTGCAGAGTGCTTGCTTTGCCCTTCTGTTGTTAAAGTCCTACAGGTATGTTTTAATCCACGTGCTTTATCTTGTAGGAAGAAGAAACTGTCTAAACGAAGAGCATGAAGCCAAATAAAATCCCACTTACATTTCAAGTCAGGGAGGTAAAAGTAAACCACGTCTCCCCTGCCCCAGTGATATCAAGTGTTTTGTTACTTGAAAATACACATCATGTCAGAAAGGAAACCCAAGAGACCTCGCAGAATTTTATCAACTAGCAAGACTAAAAAAAATGAATCTAACTCAATTATTTCGTTTTTTAACAATGCCCCACCTGCAAAACTTGCATGCCCCATTTGTAGTAAAATGGTGCCGAGATATGACTTAAATCAGCACCTGGATGAAATGTGTGCTGACAATGGTAACATCGCTCCTGCTGGTTCAGGGCATATGGGCTTAAAGCAATCAAATGTGTTCACGATGAATGTAACCAATGTTACTGTAAAAAATGTTACCCCAGAGAAATTGTCTTCACCTATGGCCAATTTAACCCCTGGCCAAAGTGAGTCAGCAAAAACGGGCATAAAACAGCAGACCAGCCCTTATTTTAAAAGTAATAATGATTTGGTGCACAAAAATCAAGATGAACGGACATATAGTAACGTGAAAGTCATTCCTTTGGGAAGTCTGTCATCCAAGTTGTCCAGAAGATACATAAAGACTAGAAGATCAATGAATAAGAATGAGGAATTTGCCAGTCATAGCCCACCAAGCTCCTCTTCCATGGCAGTCGGGAGCCTGGCAGATAACTGTGTAGAGACTGAGGACAAGGATCAGACTTTGGAGAATAGTTCTCAAAAGGAAAATCTGTTTACATGTGATTTTAAGGAACACAGTGCTGATGAAGGCTCTCACATAGTGGAAGCCGAAAGCCTAAAGGCGCCACAAGAATGTGGGCGATCAGCCCTCACCCCCACCTTTTCAGATACTGCCCCCGTGACAGGTTCACCAGTTAAAACTCCTGGGAATAAATTACTGAAGTCTGCTTTAGACAACAGTTTTGCAGAAGCGGAGAATATCAAAGGAGCAGATAGTAAAGGTGTTGAACAATATGAGGTAGCAAGTTGTGAAGAGGTGAAGATGGCGGAAGTTACAAGACAGTTGACCCATCATGAGACGGGATCTCCTGCATCTGCACACGCCGTTTCTAACTCAAATAGCCTCCAAGAACTTCCTCTGGAAGATAACAGTGGCTTCCAGAGTGAAGTCACTGGCAGGATTCCTGTGGAGCAAGGACGAGGTGAAACCATTTCGGCTTGGCCGAGTCATCCTTATTACCTTCAGAGTTTCCTCACGGTGCTGAAAGCCGTGTTTGAGAATGAGGATGATCAGATGCTCTTTGATGAACCTGAGAAGGGCATTGTAATGACATTTCATCGGTTATCAGGTATCTTGATCCCGTTTGCCTTGTTTCCCACTCGCCCTGGTTTGGTTGGGATGTGACGGGCAGTCATGTCGCGGCAGCCAGGAATCTGTGGCTTAGTGGGTGCCTGGGAGTCAGCTCCCAGGTTTCGCTAGAGATGGACAGCGTGTGTGGAGATAAGGGTTTGTGCTGGCTGATGTTTGCCTTACAAGCGCCGCTCTGGTTATGACAGAAGGCTAGGCCTTCTGTATGTATGTTATATGTGGATTTGGTGGTTGTAAAACAGTTGTTTCTAGATTTTCAAAAGTAGAGTGTGTGTGTGTGTGTGTGTGTGTGTGTGACTTAGAAAAGTGTACTTTTACATTTTGGGCATGTAAGATTAAGATTTGATTATTTTGCTGTTTTCTCAAACCACTTCAAACATGGCAGTAAAATAAAATACAGGAAAAAAACAAATGAAGGTATTGAGGCAGTTTTCTTTCCCCACTCCAACAGTATTTTAGGCTCCTGGACTCACCCTGTTAAAGGCAGGGTGTGGAGGAAATGGAAACATTTCAAGCGAAATTGGTGCATTTAAAAACAGTAGTCTCTGCCTCAGTTCCTTGGCATTCATTGGTGGCCCTAAGCCCACAGTGCCAGTTCCAAGCAAAAGCCAGCCTGCTTGCACCCTCACGCAGGAGACCCTATGCAGGGGCTTTGTGGACCTGAGCTCCCCCCTAGCAGGAAGAACTTTCTTACGGTCGTGGCTTCAAGGGGTTAAAGAAAAATTCCCGAATGGTGCTGCTGATGTTTGGGAGGAGGACTTTTGTTTCAAATCCATGCAGCTTCCTTGTCAACTTGACTTGTGCCCACCTCACCCACTCCTCTGTCTGGACAAGTCAGGGCCTTTGGTTGGGTGCTGCTTGCCTCCCTGTGGGCGTGTGTGGGGGTGGCTCTCTGCTTGGTATCATGAAAACTATGATGGTCCTCGAGTGCAAGTTCTGTAACATTCTTGTGCATTGTGCTCCACAGAGAAGCTTTCCTCTGAAAGGCAAGACTGCTAATTGATTTTGCCTCTTCAAAAAAGAAAAAGGGAAACACAGAAAACTTCAAAGTATAATTAGACTTTGGCAGAAATTTAAAGATAACCAAAGTAGTGGGGAAACAGATCTCACCTTGCCTGAGATCTTGAGTTAAAGATCTCGTAGGCTCTCCTGCGAGACCTAGACTTTAGTCTTTGGAAATTCTTTTCCACCAGCAATGGAATAATGCACATTCAACTAAAAGCAGAAATATCATACCTGAAATCCTGGATAGAGCATCTCTGAGGACATATGAATGTTGGTAGCTAGAAAATAGGGAGCCTGGTTCTTAGAAGTTTTTAAATGGTCAATAATCATTCCCAGTATTGCAGCTTAAAAAAAAAATAGTTTACACACATTAAATACCTCATCTTGTTTAATTTTTCCACCAACTTTAGGAAGATGAATTCATTCTCTCACGACTCCCCCCTCTTTTTCTAAGTTTATTTATTTGTGCACACAGAACTGGGGTACAGGCCAGGGATGCAGGGGCAGTGAGAGGATTCACCAGAGACAGAGTGGGGAGCAGAACAGGCAGATCGATGAAGTACACTGCTGAGGGGAGCAGCAGGTGGGTCAGGAGAGGTCTGCAAAGCCATGTGGTCATTCTGGGGCAAGTGGGGATGGAACTCATGCGGAAGCAGCTTAGTGCTGTGCTGTAACCAGCTGTGCCACCAAGGAGGACCCTCCCCCCTTTTAAATGGAGGAGAATGTCTTAGGTTCAAAACATGCATAATTCAGAAGGCAGAGCTGCTGGAGGGCTCTCCATCCTTGGTGCTCTTTCTGTCCTGTGCCAGCAGGCATACAGGGCAAGGGACATTCTATGTGAAATAAATTATATCTCCTAAAGGAAGAGATTTTCTTGGAAGATAAATGGAGCAAGTCTTTGTGTATTTCTCACACTTTACTCACCCAGTTTTAAAAACCAAATGAGATTAGTATATTATTTGGGGGGTGAAATAATATTTTTGTAATGTCTCTTTATTGCAGCCAATGGGCAGAAGTTGTACGTACGACTTTTTCAACGTAAATTCAGCTGGATTAAGATGAATAAATTGGAATATGCAGAGATTGCTTCTGATTTAACACCAGTAATTGGAGAATTAAAGCAGGCAGGCTTTCTGCAGACAGGTATGCTTGGCTGAAGAGGATGCAAAGTGAAAATATGCATAAGCATTAAGTTTGCAGAATGATGACAATTGTGGTGCCCTCTCTGGCTTAGTGTCTGGGAAATAGTAATTTTTTTTAGCGGGGTTTTTAATCTTTGGAGGACAGTAAGTTATTCATATGGTGTTAAAGCCAGTCTCAGCCTGGGTTATGGTTTTCTAGAATAGTAGAGATCATCTGCCCTTCTCTGTTTGACTGTCACAGACCATTTCTGTGTCTGATCCTGCTCTTGCTTTGCCCCCTTTTTCATCCAGCTCTGCTCCATGTCACCTCCTAGAGCTGCCTGGCCCCTGAGTTCAGCAGCCTTGCCTTGTTCACTTGGCCTTGTCCAGTTTTGTTTTATAACCATTATCCTGGGCCGTGTTGCCCTGGCGCGGATGCATGTGCACTCTCTGTGTGAGGAGGTGAGTGCCTGCGCCCAGCCCATGCAGCGAACACCCAGGAGAAGGCGCTGCTGAGCTGTGAACACCTTGAAAGTAGAGAGCAGCCAGGTCTGACTGGGCAGAATCCTGGGGCCTGCCCTGGTGCTGGGACCTGTAATAGCACCTGTCTGCTGTTAAGTCTAACAAGTTCTCAGGCAGAGGCCTGTGGGGAGAGGGGAGAGCTGATGTTTACACAGTCGATTTGAGTTTTATAATCAGGAACAGAAGTCAACAAGTCAGGAAGTCTTTAAGGAGGATGCCCAAGCTGTAATGGGTCTTTCCAACTTGTTTAGATTTTCCTTTTTTGTGAGCAGTTCTGTAACGTTTTAACTTTTTTTTTTTTTTTAAAGATTTATTTATTTGTACATACAGAACTGGGGTACAGGCCAGAGGCTCAGGGGCTGCGAGAGGCTTCACCAGAGACAGAGTGGGGAGCAGAACAGGCAGATCATCAAAGTACACTGCTGAGGGGAGCAGTGGGCGGGTCAGGAGAGGTCTGCCACGCCATGTGGTCACCTCCGGGGCAGGCGGGAATCGAACTCATGCGGAAGTGGCTTCAGTTTCTCAGTGCAGTTCTTTAACCCACTGTGCCATCAGGGAGGGCCGTTTTAACTTTTATATGTACTTTTCATATTCTTTAATAACTGATTTGGTAAGCAAACTTTTGACAGTAAAATGTTATTTTATTTGCATTTGACTAAACTTCTTTTTAGAGATAATAAAGCTAAAAAACAATGAAACTTTTTACAACTGTTTTTAATTACATTTCTTTTTTGACCTTTCTAGAATCTGAGTTGCAAGAACTCTCTGAAGTGCTTGAACTTCTTTCTGCTCCTGAACTGAAAGCCCTGGCAAAAACCTTCCACTTGGTGAATCCCAATGGGCAGAAACAGCAGCTGGTGGATGCCTTTCTCAAACTCGCCAAACAGCCTTCAGTTTGTACTTGGGGCAAGAATCAGCCTGGAATCAGTGCAGTGATTTTAAAAAGGTTTTGTTGGCTACTGTTGCAGTGAAACATTGAAATGTTGATAGTACATGTAAACTTATTCTAGTGGATGGTACATCTTCAAATTGTAATTGCTTATTTCACATACAGTAAGATCGAGAAGGCAGGATATTAATTACAATAGCCTGAATTCTTTCTATATTATTCATTATTTATTCTTTATACTAATTTCTACAACAAGAAAAATTATAAGGCGAGAGGACAAAGGCAATAAGCCTTTGGTGAATGCTTAAGAATATTTTATTATTCAAAATAAATTCATTTTCACCTACAGTTCTTAAAGAATTTAAGGGTAAACTACCCAGTCAATTATTTTTTCAGTAAATATTATTGAAGTTCAGTCTGTCAATATTAATATTTTTTGAGATTAAACAAAAGTTTGCTATAAGCTGTTTATGCTTTCTTTTGTCTTTATGAAATTTTTGAATTCTTCAATGGGAAAGACTTAATTTCTGCCCACATTACCTATAGAATACAATGATCGACCCTCATCTGCGCTTTTATTGAACCAAACTCTATATAAAACTTTGATTAATTTCATTAAATCCTCGCTGTCCCGAGGTAGGTATCTGAGTACCAGAGAGGTTAAGTAACACCTAGTTTCACATAGCTTTGGAAGTGGTAGTTTTGCTTCAGACTTAGACTAATGACTGTTATTTACCTTCACTTTATCTGAAAGCAACTTGTAAAACATGTTATCCAAATGTTTAAAAAGTCAGAAAGTTCTGTTTTCTTTGTTTTGTTAGGGCTAAAGACCTGGCCGGCCCTTCGCTGAGAGTCTGCAGAGGCCCTCGGGCTGTGTTTTCCCGGATCTTGCTGCTGTTCTCACTGACTGACTCTCTGGAAGACGAGGAAGCCGCCTGTGGCGGTCAGGGACAGCTCGCTACCGTGCTGTTGGTCAACCTTGGCCGGATGGAGTTTCCCAGGTACACCGTCAACAGGAAAACCCAAATCTTCCAAGACAGAGATGATCTTATCAGGTAAGACCAGGTTTGCTTACGACGATATCTGCGCATTTTAAAATTTATCAAATCATACTTTTATAAAATTATGTTTTGCCAGGCACTGTAAAAGCATAAGTTTATAGCCGAAGCAGTTTTTGAAGTTTTTTTTGCCTTATCTTTTTGCCTCACTTGTACACATTTCTGAGACTATCAGGGGAATGTAGAAATGTGCTTGGATTAGCATTGCTAAAGCACTAAGTTTTGAGGGAGAGCTACACAAAATTGCTCTGGTTTAAGATCCATAAAAGCTTTTGCAGAGCACTTGTTTAAAAATACCGACATTTGAACAAGCCTACCTTGTGAGTATATTGTTGGTATGTGCAAGACTGCAGATGAATGTTTACTTTGTAATACCTTAAGACAAAGCTAATAATAATGCTGCGCTGCAGAGTCTGCACTTGATAGATCAGAAGTTTTCTCCAGTTTGGTTCATACTGTTTGGTTTGACCAGCACAATCAAACCAAACTTTTGACGAAATTGCTGTTACCAAACCTACACCTTATAGATTATAAATCTAAGTCAGTCGCATGTTTCTGTGGTTGATCCCAGATTGGTGAATGAATAAATGAACAGGTGGATGAATGAGTGAGTACCACGTCGGGAGAGGAGCTGACTGACACCACCTTTAGAGCATGGTACATGTTACGCATTAGTACTGTGGATTTTTTTTTTTGATCTTTTTTTTCTTTATAGCTGGGTAATCAATATTAGTTCTGCTAGGACACGCCAGTGGAGTAGTTTATTACCACCAAAAGAACATTTAAATAACCCTCATAGTTTCAAAACATTCTTTCACAACTTCAGAATTAGATCTTAAGAAGAGATGTGGTCATTTTCTTACCTGCATCATTCACACTTGAAACTGGATGGCGAGGGTCCTCTTTTTCCACTACTAGATATGCAGCTGCCTCCCACATGCTGAATGACATTTCTACCGCAATGGCCAGTGGGAACTGGAAGGAAGCTAATGAACTTGCTCAATGTGCGAAAAAAGATTGGAACAATCTGAAAAACCACCCTTCCCTGAGGTGAGATTTTTTTTCAGGTACCTGTCAAGATTTACTTATTGGTCAAATTATTCCAACCACTTAAGGTAATTTTTCTCATGAAGAATAATCTCCTTTTGTTGTGTGGTCAAACCAGCTGTGCAATTGAATTTCCTCCTTGGGTGCGGAGTGCTGTGTGAAATACTAGGAGGTGTCTGCAAGTTTGAAATGTATTTTATAAATCTCAGAACCCTGCGCGACATTCATTGAACGAAAACGTACCTTCCAGCTTGCCGTCATAGATGTTGTGTGGCTTCTCTGCACCTTGCCAGCCAAATGGAGACATGGGGGAGACGTGGGCTGTGGGAAGCATGGGAGAGATGTTCTTCCGGTAGTTTCCTGAAAAAGAACACGGACCGTGAAAGTTTATTAGCACATAGTGCTGTTTTTGTTATTCAATAAATGTTAAACATAGTTTGTATTTGTTAAGAAAAGTTTTTTTTTCCTATTTTTATACAATGATGAGGGGAAAATAGTATATACCTCTTTTGGAAAAAAACAGGGTATAAAATTTCATGCAACAATTATATTGACTTAAAAATCAGAGCCAAGAAAATGGCCCTCGCTATTAAGAAAAAAAAAATAATGGGATGTTTTCCTATATTTCCTTTGGAGTATTCTTTAATTCAAACAAAACTGAACCATTTGCTTGAAGGCGTTTCTAGAAATGAGGTGATGTATGTGGGGCTTACCCCTGGGATGTGTATGTACATTGGAGAGTTCCCTAAGATGGTGTAGGAAAGGTTTTTACAATTTCTCAGGCCAAGCAACAAAGTAAATTGCTAAAACAGGTTAATGAATGATTTTGTTCATTAAAAAAAAAAAAAAGAAAGAAGAGGAAAGGAAAGTAAGCCAGGAGGTTAGAGTAAGGTCAGCGCTTTAGACACTGTGGACAACACAGTCTTTGTTCCGCCCGGGGTAGCGGGATCCAGACTAACTTTATTTTTGGACACTAAGGTAGGAATTTCACATAATTTCCTCTTGCCACAGAAAGTTACTCTTCTCTTGATTTATTTTAACCATTTAAAAATCTGAAAACTACACTTAGTTTCCATGACGTACAAAACAGGTGCAGCCCCTTGGCTTGCCTGAGACCCAGATGTGCTGACCTTAGAATGTTAACACTTATTCTCCTCTCCCTCCACTGTCTAAGTGACCTGGAGATGGGGCCCGACTGTGAGGATGCAGGTTTGTGATGCGGAAACTGGACGCCACCAGCAGTACTTAGGACCTGTGTTCTCAAGAGCTAGGAATTGAGTCTGCTTTGTAACGTCTCAGAATTGTCTTAAGCAGTAAGCCGTTAGTGAGCAGCCGGTGTGCTCCTTACTGCAGGTACCACGAGACGTTGCCAGTCTTTCTGCGGTGTTTTACTGTTGGGTGGATTTACACGAGGATTTTGTCTCGGACCGTGGAAGTGCTGCAGAGACTCCACCTGTATGAGGTTAGAGCTCGAGTCCCTGCCCCACCGCGCCGGCACAGCCACGTCAGCCTGACGAGAGCCGCCGGGCACCTGGCGCTGCCCTGTCTGCGGCCAGCACACAGTGATCTGATAAAGCTCCCTCCCTGTGCCCCTGGGAGTGATGACTGCAGATTACCACTGGCTTCCGCTGCTGTGAGTGACAGAAGTGCCTGGGGGTCAAGGACACAGCCCCTGGGAGCCAGTCTCTGAGGTTTAGGCCTGGTCTCTGTGGGAGCTCCTTGTGCAACTTCAGGGGTCACTGGAAACTTCATACCTGCATGTCAGCCTCCCTGACAGTTGTCTTGGATGTTCTGGAAATGATATACAAACACAAATCAGAGACTTCATTACCTCCCCCCTCACTCTAAACATTGTGAGATTGCTAGAGTTAACTTGGTCATGTGTAGCATTTCTGTAGTAAAAGATGGGGTTCTTACCTGGGTGCATGAATCTCAAGAAGATCCATTGGCTGAGCTTCTGGGGACCTGTGAACCCCAACATTGTGCACACATGGGATTTTGTGCATTTTTCTTAACTTCTTTAGCTGTTTCAAAGACATCCGTGAACCACAGAAGACCAACACGAAGCATGAGACTTCCACAGAAAGTCTCCCTGTTGAGGTGGGGACGCAGACCCCCTCGTTACTGTCCTGCCCCCCTTTGATTCCTCTGCTATCGTTCCATAACTTGCCGGCTTCCCAGAGGTTGTGGGGTTGCAGCCCCCACCATGGCTTGTTTGCAGTGCTAAGCTATTGACTGGATTTACAGAGAAGACAGTACAGACCTCTGTTGGCTCCAAGGTGGCTGGGGTCCTGGATCAAAAGGGATGCATCAGGGAGCTCAGGGTCCCCCTCCAGAGGGCCACCTCCTCACAGTTCTCTTCCAGTCCTGCTTCCCTGGCCTCTCTAGAACGGACAGAGAAGCTTGATGGGTGCACCTTGCCAGTCTTACTAGCTTCTCACACAGTGACGGTTCCTGGTGTGTGTGAATCTCATGAGCCTCCTTTGTTGGTGCCATAGGAAGCCGTGGAGGAGCTCGAGAACCTTCTGTCCCAGCACGTGTACTGTCCTGACAGCAGAGGCCGGTGGTGGGACAGGCTGGCTCTGAACTTACACCAGCACCTGAGGCGCCTGGAGCCGGTAATGCACTGAGCCTTTTTTCCCCTAAACTTTTGCATAAGTTAAATAAAACAAAACCAGTAAGCTATTACTCCTTAACAATCAAAATGTAATTTGTACTTTTTTTCCCCCCCATTCTTTTGTCTGTGTTTTTCCAACCCTGAGGAGTCACAGGGCCACTAACACAGGCCAGCAGGAGGCAGGTCTGCATTGGGGCTTGGGAACTGGAACCTGTATGTTAAGGCGTGGGGGCCTGAGACAGGGTAGCTGTTTCCACCCTTGCAGGTGCTTTCAAGGACTGGTGATTTTACTCATGAACTCCACGGGGTGGGGGTGTGGGGGGTAGGGGGGCTGCGGCTAGAAAGGGTGATGGAAGATCTCTCCCTGACTTCCTGTAACTGCCCTCTGTGAGGCCTTTGGCAAATGCATTGTCTGACCAGCCCCAGGAGGCTGCCGTCTCCCTCCAGGCCTGCTTCCCTGGGGCGGGCAGGGCCCTTGGAGTGGGGATGCTGGCCAGCAGCCTCAGTGGCCAGCAGCTCAGTGAGGCCCGAGGCTGCGGCAGAGCTGCTTTGGCGGCCCAGGTGCAGGCCTCCTGCCAGCGGTGCGTTTGTGGAGAGGGAGGGACTGGGAGCTTTGGTTTTTCCAGTGGCACCTTTGTTGAGTCAGGTTGATGCATTGGTGGAAAAACGGGCCTTGGGTGTGGACACAGGGTAGACAGCCTTCACTGCTTCCGCTGAAAAAGTGCCCGTTACCTAAGTAGCAAGAGAAAGCAAGCACCGGTGAGCCCAGGGCAAAGTGGAGAAAGCCTGTGTGGCGTCCTTCAGGGGAGCAAGTTCAGACACTCCAGAGACTCCCCTTGCTCTCACTTCTGTTCACGGGAGCACCAGGCACTTTCACAAGGGCAGCCCCGGGCCAATTTGTGTTTGATGGGACTCCTCTCCTCGATAGCTTTCCCCCAGAGACCCGGCCGGAGCACGCGGAATCTCCATTATTTTGTTACCACTTTCTTTCCGCGCTTCTCAGTGAAGGAATCCACCAGCAGGTTGTGGGGCGAAGTGCCCAGCCACCCTCCTCTGCAGCGCCCCCCAGCCCGTCCCCCCACCAAGGTCTCCTTTTCTCTTCCTGGCGCCTCTTGACTCTTTACTCCTGGTGGCCTGAGCCTTTACTGGTTTTTAAGTTTTTTTTTTTTATTTAACTTTTTATTATTTTATTGTAGTAAAATATATAACACAGATAAGACTTGTCATCCTAAGTTTTTAGGTTTACAATTGAGGGACATCACACACACAACATAGTGCCAGTTTTATCTGTTTCCAAACTTTTTCCGTCACTCGGGACGGAAACTCTGAAACCTTGAAGCTGTTCCTCCCAGCTCCCGACCCCACCCGCACCCCCTAATCTACTCCCCGTCTGTCGGAGTCTGCTGTTCCAGGTATTTACTGGAACACGTGGCCTGGTTCCTCCCAGATTTCAGCTAGTGTAACATCCTTATGGTTCCTCCATGTTGCGGCACTGCCAGGTTTTCTTCCAGGGCTGGACTATACTCTGCTGTCCAGCTAGCTGGCCCACGGCCGTTTGGCCTCTCCCTGCTGATGGACAGCGAGCCGCCTCCATCTGCGGCTGCTGCAGAGGCGCTGGCCTATGGTTCTGTGCTCGCAGATGGGATTGTGTCTTCAGCTTTTTGAGGACTTGCCAAGCTGCTTAGAACTTGAACCGCGTGGGTTCCAGCTGCCCCTTCCCCACCCCTCATTGTTTTCCGTTTCATTATAGTCCTCCAGGCAGGTCTGAATTGCTACCCTGGTGCTTTTTTTTTTTTTAAGTGTTTTTGCTTATTTATTCAACTTGTATAACCTTAGGAAATGCATTCAGCCCTTCCAAACCTAGGGCTCTCTCTAACAGAGCAGCTGGACCACCCCATGTGTGGTGGGGGGCTCAGCTAAGGGCCCTGGAGGGCTCCACGCCTGGGTCCCTGCCCTGCAGCTGCTCATCCTGTGGTCAGGGGTGAGGATGTGTCTTTCTTCAGAGCTCCTCAGCCTCTGATCTGGCCTCCCCCCACCCCCAACCCCGCCCGTGTCCTCCAACCTCCCATCCCGGAGCATCCCTTCCTCAGACCCTGAGAGTGGTAGCTGAGCTCTGCCATGTGCACGCGTATCACAGATAATCAGGAAGAAGTGTGGGGAACAGGCTGCTGTGCGCCCCCACTTACAGTCAGGGATTAGGCTTCACCTGTACTAAAGGCATCAGAATAGGATCTCAGGTAATAGCTCTAATCTCTGGAAATGCTGCTTTGGCCATTTGGTAATTAGCACAACTGAATAATTAATGTTGAGGTTCCTGTCACACAGAATTAATGGCTGCCACTGCAGGGCCTTTGGGAAGCTGATGTGGGGCTGTCTTCTGTGCTAGGCCATCAAGTGCATCGCGGCAGGGCTGGCGGATCCAGAGGTCAGGACGGGGCACCGCCTTTCACTCTATCAGAGAGCTGTGCGCCTGAGAGAGTCTCCGAGCTGTCAGAAGTACAGGCACCTCTTCCGTCAGCTGCCAGAAATAACAGTGGAAGACGTAAAGCATGTACATAAATATCCTTTGGGCACTTTGGTCGTGAAAACTTTGACTATTTGGTTTTCTGCTCGGAAGGAACTTATGAGCCACGTTTAGTGTGAGAACAACTGAACGTCTGTCTGGACAGTTAATTTTCACAACAGGCGGCCACCTCAGAGGGCTGGGCTGGGTTTGCTCACACCCTGCTATTAAACTCCTGAGTCAGAGGCCCAGGCAGCGGCCTGTCCCCATCTTTGCAGGCATTGGAGTGGGTCACAAGCTGTGCTCTGCTCGGCACATGTGTGTTTTCAGGACATGGAGACCTGGTTCCCAGGGGCCTCCACTGAAGGGCTCACTGGCCTTCCTACCGCCCTGCAGGTGACCATCACGGGCCGGCTGTGCCCGCAGCGTGGGATGGGCAAGTCTGTGTTTGTGATGGACGCTGGGGGGGCCACCCCTGCCACCGTCCTGTGCTCTGTGGAGGAACTGGCTCTGGCCCATTATAGATGTGAAGGCTTCGACCAGGGTAATATGCACGACTCCCGCCGCCTGGCACCGATGGAAGAGCCTGGGGGGTTGGTGGTCAGCAGTGGGTGGCTCTCCTCTCTCTCTCCTGTCCCCAGGGTGGTGGGAAGGAACTTGTAACACAGTTATGGGCATTTTCTTCCTTTGGCCAACACCTGCTGCCTGGCGTGTGTGAGGAGTGGCGCTCTGGGTGGATGTTAAGAGGAATGAGGCTGGTTTTGCTCTCAGAGACTTTGTGGGCGGGAGGGGGAGCACCTCAGCAGGGGACCCACAGAGCCACTGCTAGCGCCCAGAGCTACTGGACAGGAGAGGAGTAGGCTGCTCTCAGAGCCAGGCACCTACATGGGGAGTCTGAATGTAGTCCTGGGAGGGCAGCACCAGGAAACCAGAGAAGTTACTAGAAAGGGCAGTCATTTGAATTCCTTGTAAAATGAGCTCTCTCGATCCTCCAGGTGGGAGAATAAAAGTAAGAACTGGGTAAAAATGAGTGAGGTATGGCACAGAAGCAGCATTTGCTTTTGAATCTAAAGTAGCTTTTTATTTCCTTCAAAACTGAATTGGTGGTGGCGGCTTGAAGACTTGCGGATGCTGACCGCTCCCATTGGCTGTCTTAGGTATTCACGGGGAAGGATCCACCTTTAGCACGCTCTGCGGCCTCCTCCTGTGGGACGTGATCTTCATGGATGGGATACCAGATGTCTTCAGAAACACCTACCAGGTAACCGGTTACCGTGGGCCCAGCGAACGCCCTGCGCGCGAGCAGCAGCGCCCCGGGAGAGCAGCCGCCGAGCCCGCTGCGTGGCCACAGCCCCTGCCGCCCCGTTGCATCATGGTGCTAACGCCCTTGTCAGAGTAGCTTTAATTTTTACAATCTGATTCACAGAATTCAGAATGCATGCTCATTGTTTTAAACGTTTAAGCCCAACTTACCTTCAGTGTTCCCATCTGAAACTCCTGTGTGGACCCTCAGCGCCAGGCCTGTCTGAGTGCGTGGCCAGCCGGGCACTGCCACTCGTGCCCGCAAGACTTCTGCTGGCGGAACCCGGAAGCTCTTTTCACACTCTCAAATACCAGTGTAGAAATTGCTTTTATATTAGAGTACTAATTTTGCCATATTGTTTGAGAAAAAGGGTGGTTGATTTAATCAAACGGCAGTACCTAAATTCTGCAGTAGTGAATATTCTTCTGATTAACTGGTTCTCTTCTGGCCCAGTGTGAAAGCTTGTTTTCCCTGCAACACACACAGGCGTTCCCACTGGACTTGTGCACAGACAGCTTCTTCACAAGCAGGGGGCCGGCCATCGAGGCCCGGCTGCAGCAGATTCACGGTGCCCAGGCAGGGAGCCTGCGGGCCTGGGTGGCAGCCACGTGGCGGGCCCAGGAAGGCAGAGTGGCTTCCCTTGTCAGCTGGGATCGCTTTGCATCTCTTCAACAAGCTCAGGTGAAAATCTGCACACAGCAGACTCGTGTGTACATGTGTGTGTCCGTGTATGATGCATGTATATATGTCAACTCCAACCCAACTGCCACAGTTAGGACATACGCAAGGCCCTGTGATGGCTGTTCCAGTTGACAGTTTCCCTTGGCATGACCTGCGGCCCTAAGCAGAGAGCACATGCCAGCTTCCCCTGACGCTGCCTCTGGGCTCTGGGACTCACTGCTGTCATATTGCTGAGTGCTGACTCCACATTCCCTTTTCCTCAGCTTCTTCCCAGGATTTTCCCAACTGGGCAAAACTATGAAACTGACCAGAGGGAAGTTGGTGTCCCAGAACTGGGAATGGGAGCATTAGCCGGAGGCTTTGGGCCCTGGATGCGCAGCACACAGCGCCTGCCATCCATGGAGCCCCTTCCTGTTTAGTTTTCTCTCTCATAAACACTGAAGCATCTCAGGGTCTGGGTCATAAGCGGATGGCTAATGGGATTTTGTGTTCAGGATCTTGTTTCCTGCTTGGGGGGCCCCCTCCTCAGTGGTGTGTGCAGGCGCCTGGCTATGGACTTCCGACATTGCCGAGGGGGCCTCCCTGACCTGGTTGTGTGGAACTCCCAGAACCATCGCTTTAAGGTCAGTTGAGCCCTAATGGAAAATCCTATTTGTAATTTTTATCAAAAACATTTGAGGCATTCTTGCGTGGTGTTGGCCTGTTGAATTGAGGACCTAGTGGCAGTCGGCGGGGAGTAGGGAGCTCTTCCCTACGGCCTTCAGGGCGCTCGTTTCTTAAGAGTGGGCAAATGAGAACCAGGTGTGCAAGAGAGAAGTCTGTAACTTGGTCTTAATGGTGACATTATCCCTTTTGCTGTCTTCTGTTGTTTGAAGCAAGGCATCACCCCACCCTGAAAGTTGGGCGTCCTGTAGGGCATCAGGAGAGGGACTGGAACTCTTTAACCCTGACTTTGGGCACCCTCCTTGGGCCACCCTGTTGCCCAACACAGGAGGGTCTTTTCTGAGTTTTAAGAGCGAATTTGAGATACACGTCCCTTTATTAGATGCTTGATCCCAACTTGTGACTTGTCTTTTCCTTCTGTCTTTTGAAGAGCAGGAGTTTTAAATGCTGACAAAGTCTAACTTATCTATTTAATGGACCAAGCTTTTGGTGTCATGTGACTATAACTGTAGATTTCTTTTGAGTTCTATGCTTGGGGTTCATGAGGCTTTTTGGGTTTTTAGGTTTATGTAAACCTTGAAAAAATTTTACTTTTCCAAATAACTTTCTCACCCCTTGCCGTTAGGAACTGATTAAACATATACGAGGCTGCTAGAAACTCTATTAAAATTTTCTCCTTCTAACTTCACTTTGGATGACTTTCATCACCATGTTTTGAAGCTTAGTAATCTGCAGTGAATGAGAGCTTGACTCAGCTGCTGTCCGCATGGAGCTGATGTGTGATGAAGTTTCATCTTCATGACAAAGACCATGGATAAAGTGTGTGGGAAGGCACCTGGGAGATGTGCGGGGCCTTCTGAGAGGAACTGAAGCTGAGCCTGTAGGGTACAGTCAGGCATGTGAACAGTACACACTACTGTAGCTCGTTTGCATAGTTTCAGTTAAGATGCTAATACTTTTATATGACTTTACCTTACAGCTGGTGGAAGTTAAAGGCCCCAGTGACCGTCTTTCACATAAGCAAATGATCTGGTTGGATGAGCTGCAGAAGTTAGGGGCTGCAGTAGAAGTCTGCCACGTCGCTGCAGTTGGAGCCAAGAGCAAAGGTCTTAACTGAAAGCTGTGGAATGGAGAATATCTGGTCATATATCTATGATTTCAAAAGCATAAAGCATCACTGTATTTAATTTTACTACTGGTGGTAATAAACTTGTAACAACTCATCGTTGTACAGTGTGTGTATACCACAGACACTCAGCATTGGCCTGCACATGCTGGTAGGCTTGCCACAAGGCGAGTCGTGGACTTTTTAAAGGTCAGAATCTTTGTGGTCATTTGAGGGGTAGATGTCATCTATTTTATTAGACTTATTGAAACCTAAATGAGATGATTCACTTTAGGTTTTTTATAAAAAAACTTTTTAAAAAGTAGTGCACATAGTTTCTAGTAAGTATACTGGAAACAGATTCTTGGATTTATATACATTCAAGAATGTACTATGTTCTATGTTCTTGTAGGTGATTGCGCATTGATGACTACAACAAACACTTTGTGGAAATTTTATTCAGCAACCAAAATTTCCTTCACATTCATTAATGTTGATTTGAATAAGATCTTTCACCTTCCTGCTCATCCTACTTTAAGTGAGTCACAATCAATTTTAGGCACAAGGTTTTAGTTTTTTCCCCCAAGTCAAGTTTTTAACTACTTGAATTTACTGCTAGAACAAGCAGATTTTGTTGAACGTTATACACTGAAATTTTTGCCGTTTGCACAAATTAATTACTTTTCTTTAAAAAAAATTAGACATTTTTGGTTTTAAAATTGGTTTCCATCAGACTAATGGCAGAACATTGTCCACTGAGTCTGGTACTAGGAAGTCCGCAACCAGCTGGCAGCTGGGTGACATCGATGAGCGAGGATTTTGCATCAGGTTTGTGGGTGCCGAAGGTAAAGCTCTTTGGTTCCATGTCTGCACCCACACTTGGGACGTCATCACAACATCCTTCTTGCTGACAGAGGTGCCAAGCAGCTCTGCGATAGCCAGGACTTAAGGCTGTTGTAGTTGTTTTTCATATTATGCACAATCAGTTGTGGCACAATAATCATGCTGTAACAACTGTCCAGCAAAAATAAAATGAAAAACTACGTATTTTACTACATTTGATTATCATATAAAAATATGCATTTTCTATTGTAAAACAGTATTAATAGTACCTAGTTGTTAATTTGTAAATTAACAAAAGAAATCACTAAAAATGTTGACATAACTGTTGAGAGAATTAAATGATCACCCTCCTCCCCCAATATCAAATTTAAGTTACTCTGTAAAAATAAAGAAGCTTAGTGAAAAGGGGGAGAATTACTACACTTTTGATGGCAGGACATGCTGTGGTGTATTAAGGATTCTAGCAATGGCGTCAATCAAAGATTATAAAAATGTTTAATGGCAAAAATGCGGTTTATATAAACTGAAAAAGCCCTTATTTTCTAGGCAACAGGTTGGCAAGAACTTTGGGTTTATGCAGAAGATGAATTTGCTAAGATACTGTCCCTTGAAATATAGACACTGATTTTTGAAAGGCAAATAAATTCAAATAGAAATGGCTATTCATTACAAAAAAGGTTAATTTTTCAAAAACTTGTTTCTGAAAAGGAAATAAACTAGACATTTTAATATAAAATATTTTTTTAAGCTTAAGACACAATTTAAGAACTTCTAATAGTCAAATTTGAAAACATCCATCTTTTGAGCAGGAAACGAGGTGTGTATGGGACTGAGGGGCGTGGGGAACCAGTGTGAAATGTCACCACCACAGTAAGTGTAAACGCTGACCACACAGTTCTGGTGAGGCTCTTGTCACGCTGTTTGAAAGTGAGGGCGTTTCAGAACAAGAATACACCTTTGCCTCCTTCTCAGTCTCTCAAAACTGCTGTCAAAAGTTGGGGGTGGATGGGACCCTTTTTCATTTACTGAAACAGCAGTATTTTGAGGGGAGAACCTTTTCTTTAAGAATTAAGATCTTTGTCTGAGGGCAGAGGGGCCTCTGTGCAGGTCACCTGACTCATGACCCCATCAGTTATTACCAAGGGGCAGAGCACACAACACTTCAGCACACTGGCGCTACTGATGGAAAGCCCTCTATTTTGGGGGTGGGTTTGGTGTAGACAGAGCTTAACTCCAAATGCTCCTGGACAGAAGCAACATCTACCCCCATGCCCTGTGTTAACTTTGTGGGGTGGGAAATGTGACTCCGGGGACTCCTGGCTACTGGTAAAGGATTAGTGTTAAAAGTCTCTTTCCAGTATGCAGTGGGACTTGAACAAGTTAACTCTAAAAACAAATATATTTTCCTGTGGTATTCATACCTTAATGTCAATGTCAAAGGCACTTCTAAGTTTAATTACATTATCTACAACAAATGCTTTAACAGTTAACAGTGCGAATCATTTTAACGATAGTCCTAAAAGTTAAAAAGCAAACACATGATTTTAAAACACAGTGATCTACAGTCCCAAATACAGTGATCTAAAATAAATTAGGGCCTTGGACACTGAACCCTGGTGAGTTCATTCAGAAGGAGTAGAAAGTGACCAGAAAAATACATGAGCACCTACTGATGCCTGCTGGGAGACTACCAGATGCTTCTCACAAATACACTACACTCATTTCTTAACTCTTCCAACTGCAGCTTGCATTGCCCATCTGGTCAAAGATCAGGTAACAACATTTAGTAGGTGGCAGGAAATATGGATGCAGACAAAATAAATGTTGCAGGCATAATCTGACTAGCTTGCTCACAGTAAAAGTCTGCCTGCAAATCACCTAAAAGTGAGCCAGACCTGAAAATGAGAGGACATAAAAAACATTTATACCTATCTTAAAAAAAAAATGTACAGGAAGCATAACTCAGCATGTTTTAAAATATTAGTGCAAATTTCAACTGTTATGCATAAAATTAAGTTTCAAATGCCTAGGTCAGCAATTTAACCCAGAGGGAAAAAGTTCATAGCTTCTCTCAAATGTCCAGAACACAGTGATTTTAGTCTTCGTTTGCTAAGGTCTCGGTAGATAACCATATTTTGGCCCCACTTAAAAATTTGCTTAATGGTGTTCCTAAAATGCTTCGTCTGCAGAGATTGCCTACGGGGGAAAACGGGAACGAGGAGGAGAGGAAGTCGGGTGTCCCCGGGGTCTGGTGCGGGCTGCCAGCCCGGAAGTACATCCTGCTCTGGTCCAGCTCCGAGGAGCAGGCTTCCACGGGGCCCACCCCGGATTGCCGCAGCGTCCTGCTGAGCGTGTCCACCTCGTCAGCCAGCAGGGAGAGCTTGTGGAAGGCAGTGATGAAGCCCCCGAGGTTGATCTGCGCCTCGGGCACCCAGCGGAAGTAGCACAGTTTCCACAGTTTTATGTGCGTTCCAGAGAGACGTGGTAGCAGGACGCCGTGCAGGTCAACTGGCTTGGAAAACCATTCTTGAAAATATTCCTCCACACCTCTGCTCTGGCTGCCAGCTTGCTGAGGCCGCTCCGGCTTCACCTTTAGTATTAATGAATTTCTCCGTGGAAGTAACTCCTGGTCACCGACGATTCCATTCTTGAAGGCAGCTGGCATACCTCGCAATGTGGAGCTGTGGCTTTTCTGTACAAAGAGAGAGGTCAGCATTATTTTCCCAGAGCTCCCTTTTTAGATGAGAAGGTCTGATGAAAAATATAAACCTAAAACTAGGAAATCTGGACATTTTTGCTCCTTTTTATGGGATTTCATCCAATCCCTCTCTGCAGAGCTTTTTGAGGCGGGTGGGAAGGTGATCCACTCTACCCACTCAGTTGAAGCAGTGCGAATTAGACTTCTGGGTTAGATAAAATTTAGACCTGACCAAAAAAAGGAAAAGTTCATGTATTTTGGAACAGGGGTTCCCAGGCTCAGAGCTGCACCCTGATTCTCAGATGCTGACCAGGGCCTTATGAATGTCAGCCCCCAAGAAGGCAGGGCAGTCACTGTGCTGTGCGCGCACGCTCCTGCGAGCCCTGCACTGGCAGCGGGGGCAGGAAAGCGATTTGGCTGCTAACACCGTGCCCTGCAGGTCTCTTTGGTTATACAGGAGCAAAAATGGTTAGTGCATTTTGTAACTTACCTTTGTCCGTTTAAAAGATTTCACAGAACCATTCTGCACACAAGGCGTACTCTTTCCAATGTACAGGGGGTTATGGAAGAGGGTGCGATCCTTTGCTGTGAACTGAAGAGACCAGTCCCAAACCGAGGGGAATTTTAAGCCCTTTTCATCACCCAACTGGATGTTTTTGCTTATAGCAAATTCCTGCAAAATAAAATATATGTGAAATGATGGCAAATTTTCTCATGCAAATCCTTTCCCCCACCCCTTTTTGGATGAACTGTTCATCATTACATGTCAGAGTTTCTGAACTATGCTTCAGTGGGTCTTTTTATTTTTTAATTTTTTTTATTATTACATCATTTTGGACTTTTTTTTCATCTCAATTGTAATCCCCGTGGGTTTCTCATCACCGAGTCACCCGTGTGCCATCATGTTTTTTTCCTTAATGTGAAAACTAAAAATATTTATCTTCAAGGAAGAGTGGATTTTCCCAAACAGTACTTCAAGAGTATCACTTGCTATCTCCCTCAGAAGGGAGAGAAAGCCTTGGCTCTGTGGGAGGGGAAGGTCCCCAGAGAACACGGCCTCAGTCAGCTATTATATCCAATCATGAATATGAAATGCCAAGGTGAGAGCAAGAGTTCTGCCAGAAAAACTTTCGAAAAAAAGCCGAATTAAAAAATACAGCACTAGAGCATAGAACAAGGGAAGCAAACAACATACTTAACTTTTATCCCAGTTAAGAATTTGTAACCACGCATGGGCGTGGCCGGAATGTAGTCAAGAAGCAAAAGAGAAGAGCAGGTGGCTCCCAGTCTCCAGGGTCCTGTAGGCGGGTGCTCGACAGCACAGCTGCCCCTCGGGCCGGGCCCACGTGCTCAGGCTTTGCACCCAAGCCCACCAGGCCACTGGATGCCCTCGCCTCCCGTCACCGCTGAAGGCTCAACTGTGAGTGTGCATGCCTACCCCCATGAGCTAGTGCAAAAATTAAATGCAGAAGCAAAAACTTAAGGCCTTTAAAATGCCTTATTATGAACAATGGACAATGGAGACAAACTATGAAATGCTCACTCATGAGTTCCTGGATGCCTGTTTCTAAATAACTGACTCAGCAACTATAACAAAATGATAGCTAAAATCATTTTAAATATGCAGCTATCTGACTTCAACTGTATCTCAGTAAAATAGTTAAAATAAATAAGCAGCCATGATCACAGAGTCACTTACTGTGCTTTGCTTCACCCGCTGGTGAGGAGAGTTGAAAAGGAAGGTACCGAAGAGCGAGATGTGGGTACTGTCATAGAGCACAGCGAGGTAGGTCTCGGAGAACTCAAAAGCTGCTGGATGTTGTTCTAACAGCTGCCACGTGGTGTCCAAGAATAGTAAAAACAAGGGAGACTGGCAAACAGAAACAGAATTATTTAATTCTGATTCTTCTGGATTATTTAATGTGGTCTAAGCTCTTCATATTTACCCCCAAATTTATATTTCTTATTCAGGAGAGATAGGAAAACATCTAAACCTAAAACTCCTGGCTCCTAACATGAGCTAAGGGTAAGTGGGTAGATCACTTATCCTTAAATATCACTTATGTAAAACCTAAGAACTTGTCTGACCATGAGAAATATCACAGCCCTATAGGAAGTAAACCACACTGAAGTGGCGTAGTAAACAGGCAGGCAGGCTGTCTCCATGAATGGGGCAGAGTGAAACATGTATTTAAACCTACCTGGAAAGTCACTTAGAACATTTAAGAAAAAACAAAACTAAAAAAACTCAAACCAAAAACCAATGTATCATTAGTTTCTGTTGGTCTTATAGGTTCAGCATCTAGGAAACTTCCTGTTCCAAAAAGCTGTTGACATCAGCCTCTAGGTCACATGACCAGTTCCCAAGCACAGCAACGGACAGCTGCTACCTGAGCCCCATGTAGCTCAAGGAGTCCCTGCACTCTGAAAGGGAGGTATCACTTCTACAGTTTGTTATTAAACACGGGAGAAAACAGGTCAAGTTGTGTTCTCTGACACACAACTTGATACCAGCAGTGCATTCCCCAGTCCCCTGCGGACCCCAGGGGCACTAGATCCAAAGCTGTCAGAGATCTCCTTCTCAAACTTTCGATTCTGACACTCTGCATTCCATTTTAAGAAAATGTCACACTCCAATTTTTTTCAAAATATCTAATGTGCTTAATCTACTTTGCAGCAGAGTTAATATAACATTTCTTTCATGAGTTTTCTACTTGAGAGAAATTTAATAGAATTTTTTTTTAGAATTTCAGCCCTATTGTTACAATGATCTTCTTAAAAACACCAATTGGGGCCCTCCCTGGTCACGCAGCAGGTTAAAATACAGCATAAAGAAGCTTAAGCCACTTCCACATGAATTTGATCACCGCCTGCCCTGGAGGAGATCCACATGGCGAGGCAGACCTCTCCTGACCCGCCCGCTGTTCCTCCGCAGTGTACTTTGTCAGTCTGCCTGTTCTGCTCCCAACTCTGTCTCTGGTGAATCCTCTCACCCTCCACATCTCTGGCCTGTACCCCAGTTCTGTAAGAATAAATAAATAAATCTTTATAAAAAAAAAAAAACACCAATTGGAACTCTAACCACTCATTAACCTTGGACTAAGGCAGCTAAGTTATACTAAACTCATACTTTACAAAGTCTTCTAGTCTCTTTCAGATGTAACATCTCTTCACATACTGACATGAATTTTTTTTTAAAAACTAAAAAAAAAAAAAAAAAAGACTTTTCATGTAGACGGATTGAGGTCTGGGATGAGAGGATTCACCTGAGACAGAGTGGGGAGCAGAACAGACCAATGACTGAAACACACTGCTGAGGGGAGCAGCGGACGGACAGGAGAGGTCTGCTGTGCCCTGTGGGTCTGCTCCCTGGCCAGGAATCGAACTCAGGCTTTCACGGTGGTAGTGCTGAGACTTAACTCCTAAACCACCAGGGAGGCCCCAATGACATGAATTTTAACTTAAATACACTTAAAGACTGATAATGAACATTAACGATTTTCCGTTACCTCTTTCTCCGATCTCTTTAAGTGGTTGCATCTGTCTAGGAACTGATATCCCGCCATGACCCACTCCTTCTGTATCAGACTCTGGAATCCAGTAATTGTCCTAAAATAGGGGTCCAGCATCACTTGCACAAGAGATGCTATAATACAGCTCAAATCTCTTCCCTCCTCCTCTGTCAATAAAATGGAAAGATTATTATTAACCTACAGAAAAATGCTGAGAGAAAGGGGAGGAAAAGTAAATAATTCTTACTCTGTTTCTAAGCTGCCTTCAAACTAATCCATGTTAGGAAGCTTCACTGGATTCCAGCAACTCTGAACTATTACAGACTTTAAGATCAAATAAACTATAATTAGAATGTCATGGAAGATATAGGCCTTTAAACATGAATATTTTACAGAAAGTAGGAAGTGCATCCCTTACATTTCAATAATTTGTGGTACAAATCTTTCTAGAGTCCCTGCTTGCTTTGTCAAGAATATTAAGTCTTTCTACTACTGACAGCTCCACATGGTGACTCAGAAGTAGATGAGAAAAATGGGAGTGTCAGTATAATTTATTTTCTGTCCATCTTTTATAATTGTCCTTTTGAGTGTTATTAGTAATACTGTTATCAAAGCCAGCCAAAGAAACTACTATTCAATACCCCTCATGATTACATTTAAGTCAGCAACAAAATATAAGTAAACCAAATTGTCTCAGGAATTCAAGAATTTATTTCAGAAATACAAGAGTAGTTTAACATCTGACACTTAATGAAACATACCATATGAATAAGTACAAAAATACCCTCATCCCACTAGATGCAGAAATACATCCGTGGGAGGAAAATTCAACATTCATTTCAGATTGAAAACTTCAGCAAACTATGATGGTGAGAACTTCAAACTCTTAAGTGGCATCTCCAAAGAATGACTAACATCATTCTTATTAGTGAGAGACCAGATGCTTTCCTCCTATGGCCAGGAACTAGCCAGGATGCCTACTCTTGCCATTTCTATTATACATCGTACCAGAAGCTATAGTTAGAAAATTAAACAAGAAAAATAAATAAAAGGCATCAAAAATGGAAAGGAAACAAAAATAATATTTAACAATGTTAAAGACTCTACAGAGTAAATACTAGATCTAATGAATAAGTTCAGTAAAGCCTCCATACACAATAAAATTCTGAGTATATAAGAAAACTGTAAAAATGAAATTTTAAAAAATCATATTAAAAGTACTATCAAAAATAAAATACTTAAAAGCTTTAATAAAACTTTTACACAAAAACTACAAAACATTACTGACAAATGAAAGAAACTCCAAAATAAAAATGAAAATACTCATTTCATTAACTGGTGGATTTAAAATTGCCAAATGTATACATTCATCATATTCCTATCAAAATTCCAGTAAGCGTTTTACGCTAGTCATAAAAGTTACAGAGAAAGGCAAAGACCCAGAATAACCACAGTATTTTTGAAAGCAAAGTTGACCACATACACATCTCAATTTAAAAACTTACCGTAAGACTACAGTACTCAAGGTAAGTGTGACAGTGGTATAAGGAGAGACACAAAGATCAATGGCGCAGAACTAAGAGTTTAAATATAAACCCTTATCGTTTACATTCAGTTGATTTTTGACAGCTGCCAAGCCAATTCTATAGGGAAATAAACAGGGCCGGACAGTACGTATAGTAAGGAAATGCACACACATAAAAATTTATTCAAAATGGAGCAGAGATCTAACATGAACAACCACAACTATAAGAAGTTTATTCGGTAAAACAAAGGAGAAAGACTGCACGACCCTGCATAAGGCAGAGTTCTCAGATATGCCACCAGAAACATGATCCACCAGGAAACAACGGATACACTGGACTCCTAACAAATCTTAAATTTGTGCTTCAGAAGTCATCAAAAAAATAAAGGACAAATCACAAAGGAGGAGAAATGTTTGCTAATTAGGTAAAAATATAAAGGACTTTAGAGATATCTAGAAAATGTGAAAGATTCCTAGACCTCAGTAAGACAAAACACTTCACTGCACAGTGGGTAACCACCTGCTGCTCCATCAGACGGCGCCCAGCGGCCGCCAGGGCACGGGGCTGGGAGACAGCCACAGAGCACACACGCGAGCGCCACCCGCCACATTCCCTTTGCCTCCCCTTTTACAAAGTTAATATAGACCTGTCACACAACTGAGCAATTTCAGTAGCTAACCAATAAAACTACGTGTGCCCACAAAGACCTCTTTTTAGTGAATGTTCACAACAGCATAATAGCTGTGAAGTAGAAACACCCCAATGTCTATCAACATTGATAGAAAATTGGTAAGAAATGAATTTAAAAAAAAAAGGTATTTACAAACAGTGGAACACTATTCACAAGTAAAAGGAACAAACCACTGATACATGCTCATGAATGACCCTCAGATACATGTATGTGAAGTGAGAGGAGGAAGAGGCAAATGAACACATGTTGGTGATTCCATTTATGTGACATATGTAGAAAAGTAAATACAGAGAGACGAGACAGGAGGAAGATGAGTGGTCGACTGGGACACAAGGAATCTTTCTGGGGTGATAGAAAATTACTAAAACTGAACTCTGTATTTACTAAATATAACTGAATTATGCATTTAACATGGATGAACTTTCTAATATGTACATAGCACCTCAGTAAACTTAAAAAAGTTCTGAAAAAAAAAGTGTCAGTAAAAGTAGGTTCTGAGCCAAGTGCATGCAGACACGTGCTAAGATGAACTTTGCAACAGGATGCGGATATTCACCGGTTTACAGCTGATACCAGTCACTGCACACATTTTAGATGCACCCGGTCATTCAGTTAAGGGTTACTTAGAACAGTGGGTTATTAGTATTTCCTCCCACAAGGGTTTTAAATATTTTTACCTAGTTAAAACTAATTAAATTGACACTTGGTAAAAATCCTTCTGTAAGTTTCAGTAGCATAACCACCTACTATGCAGTATCAGTATATTATAAAATTAGTAGCTCATGGTTCATTTAACTTTATACGCTTAGAAGTTCTATTTGCTGTAAAGTTATCTCAGCAAATATTTTCCTTAATTAAAAATTTTTTATATTGCCGTTTATTCTTACTAATAAACATTAGATAAAAGTCACACCGTGGTTATACAAGTCAACTTGTTGACACCAAACTTTCTTTAGAGTCACAATCTAGCATGAGCCAGAGGCATTTAAACTTTGTATGAATCAAAAAGACAAGAGTCTTTGTATGAATCTAGTAAGAGCTGTGACCCACAGTAGAGGAAGGAAGACAGGACATCACACAGGAGAGAAAATTAGATTTCTTTTCTGTCCTTGTATTTGCAGCCTTGATGCTGTTTGACTCTGAAGTTGTGGGAAATCTGCAGTGATTGTGTAGTAAGAGACAGAAGCTGGAGCATGAGCGCGTTTCAGTCATCAATTACCTTGCAGGATTACAGAGAGGCGCCTGCTTTCCAGGATGTACACAAGCTCTGCTGAATGCTTAAGAAATGTCCTGAAAAGAGAAAAGCACTGTAAAAAAAATCTAATTTTCACTGTATGTGTTTTTTGAAAATATTTGACATCGCATGATAGAATTTACTGCGAGGAAAGACAGAACACTGTCGTTTTTACAGCAAAATGGAAGGAATTTGAGGGAATTATGCCTAATAAAGCAAATCAGAATTGCAGAGACAAATAACAAATGCTACAAAGCAGAGGATTTGACAAAGCAAAATGCTTTAAACACTAGTGGACATTAAACAAAGTGAGGCTTTTGAGGTTAAAAGGGAGCAAGGAGGGAGAAAAGGTCAAAGGGATTAGGGAACGTGGTGGAAAAAGTAAATAAAAATAAAGATGAAAGTGGGAAAAAGTAAACAAAGCACTTAAAATCAAGCAAATGTAATCTTACACTCTGCACTTGTGCTCTTAACCTTTATGAATTTCTTTAGTATTGAAGACTTTCAACAGATGACATTTTGATTTTTATATCAGAGAAATTCATTAACCTTTTAGAAAAAGGATGATTGATTTATGTGATATTGATGAATCATGAAGCTACAGAGAGGAGAGGTTAGTGGTTGCCAAGGGCAGGGATGGGCCAGGTAAAGGGGAGCACGAGAGACCCTGTGGCGATAAAGCGTTTCTGTCTCGACTGTAACAGTGGTCACACAACTCCATACATGTGATTAAGCTGCACAGAACCACACACACATGTACACACACAGGGGAATATATACAAATGGTGAAATCTGAGCAAGGCCTATATATTGAACCACTGTCAATTTCCTGATTTTAACACCATATTCTAGCTATGTCGGTTTACCACTGAGGGAATTGGAGAGCACATGACTCTCTCTCCAATTTTGGTACCTCTTGTGAATTATTTTAAAAGAAAGGATTAAAAATAAAAACAAGGAAAGGCATTGTACAAACCTTACATATTCTAACCATCGAGTATTTTCTAGTGAAGATAACCATTTCTCCTCAGTTTCTTCAAAAGGCTCTGTAATAAACACGGCAATTATATATATCAGTACATTACATTATACACACACACATTTCTGGGTGTTGAAAACTTAATTTTCCATGATCAACATCACAGAAATATTCTTTACGAGCTGGCTTTAAGGAAGTGTCATACAATTTCACTTAAAATATATAAACATTTGAGGTATGTTACGATTCTATAAAAATCAATAAATTCCTTAGGCATCCATCATCTTTTTGGCTCCTTCAAAGAAATCTTGGTATATCCAGACACCTCTGTCTCCTAAGGGCTGGCGTGTCCCAACCTTCCCAGTCAGTTCAGAGGCCCCTAGCCTGGCCCCTACTGCCCCTGGGTGATTCTGGCCCTGGCTGCTTCTCGCTCTCCCTTGCTGCTGATGCTGCCTCACGAGGCCTTTGTGGCTGACCCAGGCAGGAATGAGGGCAACTTCCTTGTAGGGCATGCGCTCTGCTACCCAGCTGCGTCTCAGTCCAGTTCAAGGCGCCTCTCACTTCACAAGCCCCAGGTGTCACTCACTTTGAATTCACAGGACAACCGGTAAGCACTCAGGTTACTGTGCTTTCACCACCATCACACCCTCCCAGCTCCACTTCCAGGGCCTGAAGCCACCTTTGCTTCTCCTGACTCCCAGGCAACTCAGGGGTGCTCGCTGTACACATATCAAGGGGGCTCACTTTGTGCCAAAGACACTTCCCTATGAATTATCCCGTCAGGGCACATGGAACACTCGACAAGCATTTGTTCTGAAGCACCGAAGATTATACCACCGCTCTGTTCAAAATCCATGTCAAATCACATTTCTTAAATTACAACTACATGCATCAAAATCTTAGTAAGCCTATCTGCAAGGCAGCAATTTTTTTACTTGGTCAGACATGTTAATAAAAAGTCAAATTTTACCTTTCACGACTTAAAGTTGACTTAACTGATTCATTTTTATTTCCCAAACAAAAGCAGTTTAAACTTCATTTTCTAAGATCTTTAGATATGCTCATACAATAATTTGTGCAAATATTTCAATGAACCTCTATTTAAAATTTATGTTTCAATATTTCTAAGGAATACCACTTTTCCTTACATGCCTCATGCAATGCTGTGCTCCCCTGTTCATTTTACATATATGTATAAAAAAACAAAAATGAAGTTACCATTAACACATAGTTGCTTAAGTTTTATAAAAGCCGCCTGTATTTCTTGGATATTGGGCAAGGTCTTATCCAAGTCTAATTTGTGAACGTCACTTCTCTGTGGATGACTTTTAGTTACTGCATTACAAATCCTAAAAAGACAAAAGCCATTCAGTTAGTCAACATGTACCTTTTAAACAGCTACTATAAACTAAGTGGCTGTGGTAAGTCAGGCCAGAGAGCTGAGCGAGATGCGTGGGTGGTCTCCACCTTCATGGGGATTACATTCTTGGCAGGGTAAGTAATGGGAGAACACCAGGCTGTGTGGGCTGAGCGCCACGGTGACATAACTGAATGAAGGAGTTACGGTAACATGGTCAGAAAAGGTTCCTCCCTTAAGCTACTGAAGCTGAGACCCAAAGAGCAGGAACCTGCAACGAGCTGGGACAAGTGCTCCAGGCAGGAGGGCAGCTTGGGAAGAGGCCCTGCGGCGCCCACACACGGCTGCTGGGGAGTCTGGAGGCCGCAGCGGGGAGGCACTCTGTTCTGTATGGTCTGTTTCTTTGTTCTTCATTCCTAATTAAGTATTGACTTATTATTCAGTATCAGAGGTACCTCCTGTGTGTTAAGTGACAACGGTGTGTAAAACAGAGTCCCTTTACTTCACGGAGCTCACAGTCTAGTAAGAAAGACAGGCAATAAATGAACTATAACACACAAGTAAGAGCCTAAAAAAGTGTTAGGAAGAAAAATCAGCCACAGGGAATGTATAAGTCGGTGTCTGATCTAATTTGTGCAAATACCCCTTACCACAGGGAAGGCCTATCTTGAGGAAGAAGTGATGTCTGAATCAAGACCTGAAGACAGTACTGAGTGGGGCAGAGAGCACTTGTGAGAGAGAAGCAGGCCAGAGGGAGTGGTATTGGCTACTTTATCAGGAGTTGGAAAAGACCAGGGCAGGTCCAGGATGGCTGGAGTCCAGAAGGAGGGTGTGACAACAGAGTCACTGCGTGACAGGGTGTGACAACAGAGTCACTGCGGCATGAATAGGAAACCCTGTAACACACTGGTGGGTGGAGATGGGCTGGAAGTATGTGGCATTGGGCGGTTTCTGAAAAGTGAAGTGACAAAATCTGATGATGTGTTGGACATGGAGATGGCAAGTCAAAGAGAGGAAAGTATCAAGGATGAATCCAATAGGTAGCTGAGAGCAGGCTGGGAGAGGGTATGGTAACCTTATCTTTGAGTTTGGTTTTGGGCATCATGAGTTTCAAGGGTCTTTGGGACCTTCCACACAGAATATGTGAAATTGACTAGATACACAAATTTGTAGTCATTAAAGCCACAGCTACAAGTCAATTTCTTTAGGAAGGGAATATAGGGAGAGAGGGTGACAGGCTTGCAGAAGGCAGAATACATGAAGGAAGAAGAGCCTCAGGAGTGAGGGCCCAGAAAGCTTTATGCCCACCAGCGCAAGAAGACTGAAGTACCTACTACTTTAATGACGCGGAGGTACTGGCAACCCTCAGTCTGTGACGGCTAATTAAACTGCCATCCTAGCTGTTGTAGACATACTAAGATGCACTGAACTGCACGAAAACCTTGAGCTATACTGAAGTGTCTCAAGTGTAAATCACTGCATTCTGCAAGTATGTTAAAGTCCATGTATGGCAAGATGTCTGCAGCGTAAGATCCTCAATTGTTTTATGAGTCAAATAATGAAATTATGATTAGTGTAACTCAGATTTGGGTAAGTACTGTCAATATTTCGGACAAATAAAAATGTCTGCAGAAACAAGAGCCTCTCTGCATTACCTCTGGTCGATTTTCCTCTGCTGCAGCATGTCCTTGATGAGTGCCATGCGCATGAGCGCACTGCCATTGGGGTGGCTCCAGCACCAGAGCTAGGAAAGAGCAGAGGCTTCACTAAGCTGGGCAGAAGAAACGGAAGCAGAATTACTGATCTCTAACAGACATCACTTACTGGCATCCTTCTTCCGACAAAAGAATGGGAAAATATCTTTAGGTCTTGGTCTGCTAAAGAACTTGGCACAACAAAGTATTCTGGAAGGCTGGAGGGGAGGAAAACAAACGGTCACATAAGAGTGCTGGCTTCTGGCAGAGGAAGTGTGCTCTGTAGCCCCCACTCACAATTAAGATATTTAATGTGCACCCTGCGCTGTGGGCACACGACGGGCACCGGGATCTTTCCTAAAACATGTGATGTGGTCAATTTATACTTAAGGCAGGGGAAATCCAAGAATATCTGAGATATTTTCAAGAATGACTTTCAATCAAATGGGCGATTTCCGAAAAGTCTACCCGCCTTGTTCTCTTAATAGTCACTGGGTAGAGACCCAGGCACCCCAAACCAAACCAGGCCACAGACTTCTAAGAAGTTTCTGCACCTTTTTAGCTTCCCCTCCTTTCCATTCCCAATCCTCAGTCAGGCAGACTACAAATATTAATGGGCATGCTGATCAGAAAACAAGTATTAATGGGCATGCTCACTGCACTGTAAAACGCCTCGCTCTCTTCTTTCCTCCACGCAGGCAAAGGCCTCAACCAATAATGCAGCAGGGCACGCTGCCTAAAGTTTAAATTCACGGGGAGGCTGAAGACTCAAGTTGCGTGCTCCAAAGCACCTTTACCCCAGAACTATCCTAGAACCTCGTGGTATTAGATCACTCAGTAATAACTAAGAGTAGTTTTTGTTCAAAAATGCTATTTCTCTACAAGAACTAGTGAAGACTTAAAAACACAGGCCACTAAAAGACACTAAACAAACCCATTATTTATTTATTTTTAAAGATTTATTTATTTATGTAAACAAGAGCTGGGGTTCTGGATGGTGAGAGGATTCACCAGAGACAAGAGCTGGGAGTAGAACAGACAAGCGGATTGACTGAAAAACACTGCTGAGAGGAGCAGGGGGAGACAGGAGGGGTCTGCTGCGCCATGTGGCTGGGGGGCGGGGGGCTGAGCCCGTGCTGCAGTGGCTGTGGACAGCTTCACAGTGCTGATCAGGACTTAACCCCTAGTGCCATCAGGGAGGCCTTAAACCAACCAATTTAAGAAACATTTTCCTGGTCACTTCTGGAGGAGGTATAGGGAACTAGTCTATCCTGAAAATTGGTTAAATAAAGGGAAAAAGTAAATGTTTATACTGTCTTTCTCCTAGAAACTGTGTTTCATGCACGGAAGAGTTGATGAAAGTCTGGCAGAAAACAATGAATGATAGAATACCATCAACAGGAATTTTTAATAAAATAAGGCAGCTGGGTAATGATCCTCCTAGTAAAAACCATTTTTGGTGACTAACCCGATTCTATGAAAGGGACACTTTGTTGTGGGATAAATTATGCGCTTTCCCTTTCCAGGGTCTGTGGTCAATCAGCATGAGATGAGGCCGAGGGCCCAGGTGATGCAACAGGAGGCACATGGTGCCACTCGTGAAGCATTTGTGCCAAGACAGGTGAGCTCAATCTAGTCACTAAGCTTCTAGCGCTAACTGACATTTTATGGAAAAGACCTGAGTCAGAAGAAAACAGTAAAGGACATCAAGGGAACAGAGCTATCGTAGAGTGTAGAAGTTCTGGAGAACAAATAATAAGGCTTTGCCAACAAATGAAGAGTGTGTAGAAAGGAGGTGGGAGGAAACCACCGCTGAGTACCAGAGCCAGACCATGCAGGTTTAACATGGGACAGGTCTGCAGAACACATTTACAAGAAACAAATGCAAACAAACACTGGCTGGATTACTGACAGCAGTAGGGGTTCCTGTTCATTTCTTTCAATGGATACTGACACTGTGATCATGTTAAAAGGGCCCAAATAGTCACAAAACATTATTAAAAATGAATATTCCATTAACTATCTCTGCAGTTATTGCTGACAGTGGAGTTAGATTATTATTCAGACAGCACTGGTGAAGCAGCACTTACCAAGTGGATATCATGTAACCCTCATTAATAGAACAAACTCTCCACCCCGAAGCACAGGTCCTCTTGATCTCTCTGTCCCAGTCGGAGTAAGTTTCAAAGAGTGGAGTTTTGGGGCTGCTGCCTCCTCCTTCTCCACCTCCCAAGGGGATTCCATTAATTTTGTCAGCTAGAGGAAAAAGCAAACTTATTAGTTTTGTTTTAATTGCCACATTTCAACCAATACTCCCTCTCCTCTCTTCCTCTGTCCTCCCACAAACATACTCTGATGTGGTATTCTTCTTACTTCAGGTTTCAAATTTCTCCAGGACCATCTTCCCCTTCCCAGCAGTCCTGAGAAACACAAGCCTCCCCTCTCAGAAGAACTGAATTACTCTTGTCCTGGTCCATCTCCGTCCAGTTCCTTCAGCACCTGCTTTTTCTGTCTTTCCACTGGGTCTTTCTCCTCTGCCTATACAAACAGGGAAACTTCACTTTGAAGAAATTTCTCTTGATTCCACTAGATGACTCCAGCTACTTAGTAACCTATCTCAGTTTTACTCTGCACAGCCAACCAGGGTCAGAAACTATTATGCACCATAAAATATTCAGAGAGAGAAATCACATTTACGTAACTTTCATTACAATATATTGTTACAATCACACTATTTTGCTCATACTGTTCATCTCTTATGCGCCTGGCTTAAGAATTAAGCTAACACAGCAAGTACCACGAGCAGAGGAGACAGTAACACAGGGCGCCGCACTCTCTGTGCTTTCAGGCATCATGGGGTCTTGGGGTGTCTCAGGAGAGACTTCTGCAAACATTTCCCCATCCTCTTTTTATTGACTGCCTTCCTCAATGATGAATGAAGCTTGTTGACTACATTTCATCTCCATTTATTTTCTCCTGAACTTCCAATTGTCCTCCATCCCTTCTGCGAGTAAATACAAGTTACCCATTTTCTGCACACATTTTGCCTAGAAATGATGCCACCAATCATCTCTTATGCTACCCAAGTCTTTCATTTTTCTATTATAGACTTTTCAACCCTTTTGCTCATTATATGATTCTTGGTGTCTGATTTAATTTTCCTTCGACAACCTCGCATAGGTTCCTTGCGCTCCACCCGTGTCAGTCCCATATGCAGATTTCAGCAAAGAGAGGGCCTGGACCTGAATTTCCCCAGCAAGGAACCTTCTTGCAGAGGAGTGCTGCCACCTTGTGGGAGCTTGGCCTCAACCTGAAGCGGGCCTGCAGAGTGAGTAGACAAAGAAGCTGTCCCAGCTGCCAGCTGTAGTTGCCCTGGCGACAGGGAGCCCAATCCTTCCTGGCTCAGGCCGCAACTGTGGCAGACACGAAGCCCACATCCCTGACATGACGCTCTGCTCTACTCAAACTAGCCTGCAGCTTGCTACCAGATACGTTTCCAGAAAACATGCTTCCAAGAGGCTCTCTATGCCCCAAACTTTGATCCTGTTCATTTTCCAGATAAATCAAGCAAACCTAAATGGTTTCTCTCAAAGAGCCTCACATGAATGAACTCTACTTCTAATTATTCCCGAATTCCCACTTTCCCCAACAGCCATGAACAAACTCATTGTCACATGAACGTGCCATACCCGTTCATAGGGACAAAACACCTGCTACCATTGGGCATTCGGAGACCCAATCATATGCTAGGGCTTGCACATTTTAAATTTAAAAAATATCCTATTTCTATCTGGAACGCAACAGGAGAGTGAAGGGGAAGCTCAGCCCTCGTCCCAGGGCGCTGATGTCGAAGGGCAGTGGGAGTGCAGAGGGGGAAGCGCCCAGCTCTCGCCAAGAGGAAACCCTCAGGAGTGCGTCAAATGCTGCCAGGTAGCAGGTGAGAAGGAAGTAGGCATGCTGGGCAGAGAACATAACAAACAGTGAAATTTATAACATTAAAAATGTAAACACAATTAGATCAGAAATGCAAGGGATGGTGGAGGAGAGGCTGGGAAACTAGACGGGGTCTGGACACTAGATCTGTGTCGCCTGAGAGTGGCCACTAAGCTATACATGCGATTTAAACTGAAATTAGACTTCAATAAAATTAAAAATTCAGTTCTCTAGTCCCACCAGTCATATTTTAAGTGCTTAAGAGCCCCACAAGGAGAAGCAAGCAGCTGGTCCACTGCACAGTGCAGATGAGAGAACATTCCACACTGGATGGGAGTGCATGGCAGAAGGGCTTAATGTGCCACGCAAGGAATTTGGAATTCTGAATTTAAGTGGCATCAGAGCCCTCCAGTGATTCTGACTTTAACAGAGCTTGTTAAAAAGTAAAATGTGAATTCTAAACACATATCCGGGAGTCCCACTCCACCCTAGAAACTTCTCTGAAGGGACAACCAGGTGTGCTGAGGAATGGGGAGTTAGGTTCTCTGCAGAATAAAAAACCCTACGGAATCCAACCAGCCCCACCCATACACTGTCACAGAGACCAACAACAAAAAAATACAGAAAACTACTCAATTAGAAAACCTAATCCATCATTTGAATGTATCTAATTAGTCTGTAAGTAACCAATTAGTCTGTAAGTACATCAAAACATTTAATAGTTACCTGCTCATGATTAGATAAAAACATTAGCAAATTAGGACTGGAAGGGAATTTCCTTAACTTAAGAAACACACAGCAAATATCACCCTCATTCAATCTAAAAACACTCTTCAACACAACTGTGAAGTCCTTGCCCAAAAGAAGATAAGCACCAATATAAATGTTTAAGAAACACACGCAAACACTTAAAAAAAAATGTATAGCCTGGCAGCATACCTCTAGCTGGAAATACAGTACTAAATACTTTTTAGATTTGAAGTTACAGACTTAAATAAGTTAGGTTGAGAATGTGCTCTTGCTTATTAGACTTTCTCTGGCAATATTTTAGTCTCAAGATACAAGTAAGAATAGGAAAATTTTTCTGACATAAAGTAAGAATATCCATGGAATCTTACACTGTTTCCTGTTTTACTTGTTTAAGACTTTCTCATTTTTCAATTACCAGGACCAAACCTTTTATATGAACTATATCTTCTTCAGTGAGAGCTCATTTTAGATGGCATACCTAGCCTTAAACCTGGCATGCAAGAGACCAGACATTCTAGTGCTTTCCAGAAAGTTCCAACAGCTGATAATGTGTGGCGGGCTCGACGAGAGCCTCACTAACTGATTGCAGCAACAAACTGACAAAGCTGGTGACCTTAGATCAGCTCCCTTGCCTGCTGTCTGACTGAGGTTATAGGACACAGCTCCTCAGCTGACTAAAAGTGAAACTACACATTCCTTACCATGTCATCTTCTGAACTAATCTTAGACTGCCTACAGGGATTTACTCTGGGTTTCCACTTAATTAGCTCATGCATATTTAGACTGGCCTCAAGCAACAGCAAACACAACAGTGGTCAATATAAGAAAAGAAAGCCCATGGTGATGGTAATACACCAGAAGTCATAAAAATGGGCAGAAGGCAGCAAAAATAGAACTGTGAGCACTAAGTTCAACAGAGGTGAGTCAACCAAGTAGCTCTTAACTGGGAGGTTTGGACTTTGTGGGCCTGGGTGGAACCTGCATGGTTGTTTTTCTAAACCTTCCTCCAGTAATTATGAAACACATGGCTGGTTAAGAGCCACCAGGATTCAAAAGACCAGAGGGTCAGTGACGAACACTTACAGCTATACTTAGAATCTGAAAACAACTGACAAGGAACAAACAAAAAATTCTTTCATGTTTCAAATGCATTATTCTGTAAATGGTTTTCAAATAAGCATTTAAAAGAAATTCTAATATCAAGACCTATGTAACCAAAATGCTTAATTTGAAAATTTTTGCTGAAAATACACTTTTCTGATGTGAGTCTACATCACAATTTGCGAGCACACTAGGTGGAGTTCAGTTGCTCATGCTGAAGCAGTAGTAACTTCAGGAAGCTTTCACTTCTTTAAAGTATAATCTTCACATCTTACTAATTTTATAATCTTCACATCTTACTAATTTTATAGCAAAAATGAATCATACTTTTGGGAAATTTATTTGCAAAATAATAGTAACAGTCTTCCTTGGTCCCTTCCAAGTTAAAAGGAAAAACTGATTCACTGTTCTTGCTTGAGCCCTGTGGGGCCAGTAGCAATGGCCCACAGCCTGGGGGTGCCTCCCTCTTCCTGTACTTCAGGGTCCTCACAGAAGAACTTGGATAAGGCTGAGAGCCTCAGAAATGGTTTTTAACTCCTGTAATGTTGAATATGAAAGAAAATTTCAAACTGCCTAAGGCTGGCTAAAAGATTCTTTTCCTAGATCTTGTTTTGGAAACAGCTTTGTCACCTACCTGCCTGAAAAAAGGACTTCTTTAATCCAGCCAATGAATCAAGGTGTCATCCAGGAGTTCAAGAGTGGATTATTAGGCATCTTTCACTCACAAATTAATGAATTCTGACTGTAGTGTGTGGAAATTTCAGGCTTCTTTTGATCTTAAAGATGCTTATGCCTCTGCAACAGCATGGAAGGATATTAAAGGATGTTACCCTATGAAGAATCTTAACAAAACTCTGGCCAAGTGTAATGCTCATGAGGTACTTGTCAAAGAAAGAGTGAAGAATGTAAAAATCCAAAAAGAGTTCCTGACTATTTTAGGTATTAGCGAATTTTATCAACAACTGAATACGCAGAGAACTGACTGCTGGAAATATGAACATCCACAGAAAAGGTATAGCTGAATAAACTATTTAAAGTATTATTAACCCAGAGAGGCCCACCAGGAATGAAAAAACAGTGAAATGAAATTTAGGCAAGGTTCAGGTCACCAAATGCATATGAAGTTTACCCTTTTTGCTGAATCCAAGTCATTACATTACTGCAGAAGTTACAAATCTGTACCCTGGACTGGGTCATTTCTACCAGAAAAAGAGTAGCATCAAGAACTGGTCTGTATCATAAACCACTTGAAGTGGGACTCAAAGACTCTTTCCTGTAACTCTTGCACCTCTTGAAACTTTCACTTCAACTGCTCTCTTGCCACTGTGAAAGATCTTATGACAGACAACCCTGCTGATCACAGTGTGCACCTTGATGATGACCCAAGGCAGATTCACCAGACTAACAGTATGGTACAATGGGGTACTTTCTGATGGATGTAGTAAGTTCACCACTGTATACATATCATAGAATATAAACTATTCTCCAAACAATACTTCTCTTTTCATTGGCACAGCAACACAGGAGGGCATGCTGGAGGAGGAGCTAGGCCAGCCATGGCTTCATGCTGTTGTAATACATTGGCAGCATGGGCTATGTTGTCACTAAGCAACACGAATTTTGGGACTACCCTGATATATGGGGCCTGTAGGGACTATCGTATATGGCACATGACTATTTTTGACAAATAAAGTGAACTTACTTTATATAAGAAATAAACTTAAAATAGTTAATTAACTGTTTTGTCCAAGCCTAAGATACAATTAGCTATTTTGATAGGAAAAATTAAGTTATACTTTGTCATCTAACTTCTGTAAGCATTAGCACCATACAAATTTACCTTTCATTCTGAAAAGCATGCTTTTACATTATTATCTCTATTGTGCTGATAAGTATCTTTTAAGTATTGAAAATGTACTTGGTACCATATGCACCTGCAGATACTGTGTACTGGTCCTATAATTTATTTACAATATAGTGATACTGGAATGTATTTTTTATTGTACAAGTGATTCAAATGACCGCTATGTTTTTACGTGACTAACTGTAAAAAAAAACTACTACGAGTAATAACTTGTAAACTCTCCATATGAGGCAAGAGTGAACGATTTTTCATTTTAAGTATGTAATGAACTTATTTTTCTTCTATAAAAAGTGGCATATACCTATGGATGGAGCTGGAAGGGATCATGCTTAGTGAAATAAGCTAGTAAGAAAAAGAAAAATACTGGATGGTTTCACTCATAGCAGGAGCATAAAGGTGGGAATAATGAACAACTATACACCATAGACATTTTATAGGGGTGGAATGGGATCAACAATGGGGGGAGGGGAGTGCACGGGACTATGGTGATGGCACAGAGGTGTACTGGTGAGATGGGAAATCCACAGGGATTGCAGCTGAGATGGAAAAAGGCACAAAATGATGTAAAAATAAACTATAATAATAATAAAAAAAGTGGCATATACCAAAGTAGGCAATAGACAAAGTGGATACTAACCCGGAAAGGGTTAGTATGAGACATTACCTGCTTCTTATCTATCCTTCTATAACATTTTAAAAGTGACTGTATGTTAAAAGAAAGCACAGAACTACACAACTATCTGGAATTTTCATTTGGTGATGTCACTGCTGACATAGATACGTGGAAAACACTTTAGAAAAATGCACCGAATACACTGTCCTTTGGACAAATGGTCCTCTTCCTTTCATCATTCTTATTCAGTAATAAAAAGTCATCATTTTGACTTTTTATTGAAACCACTAAAAAATAACCATTTCAACTTTTGCATGAAATCAAATCTTTGTGAGAAGAGACTATGTGCTTCAACTATTTTTTAATTTTCTGCTTAAAAGATAAAATTAAAGGAGATTACTTTAACTCAAGCTATCAATTACAAAAGGGTAAGAGGGAGAAGTGTATCTTTCTTCATCATGAAATACAAGCCACTGATGTATGTAAAACTATTTGACACAATTCTTACAAGTGGTACGTAAGTGACCAGGTTCAGCCCGGTCACTTTTAAAAAATAATCTGACAAATACTATCTTTCCTAATTACGGTACTTGCTTTTCTAGCAGTTAAAAAGCTAATCATTCTACAATTCTACAATCATTAAAGTTCCTGTACTTGAAGTCTTCTGATAAACATTGGATAAAATTTACACAATGTAAAGTTAGTCACAATATTTAATATTTTCATATTTACCTGAATTGTGGTATTTTTTCCCAACATATTCAAATGCAAAGAGTAGCTGGAGGTCTGTTGGCTGGGAATAATGAGCTATTGCAAGGCATACCTAGGAAAAATTCTACATTTAGAATTTGATTTTTAACACACTTAGTTAAATGAAATGTACAATATGGCCTTGATTCTGGGGAGCACTGTTTTGGGGCAGTGATTACAGATACTTATTTACATATTAATTTTAAAGAGCTCCGAAGGCCAGATATCGCATTCATTGTTGTGACCCTAGCAAACTGTTTCATCTTTAGTGAGTACATGGAAACGCTTCAGTCTATGTCTGCGGAGTTGAATTTGGGAGGAAAGTAATTTTATTCAACTAATAAAACTTAAAAACTAAAGAAGCATTCTCCAAAAAGGCCATGACATATCCACTCCTAACATAAAGAAAAAAAGTTCATTTTTGGCGGACTATAATGACTTAGTATAATGATGAGTTAATGTAAGTTATGAAAAGTTAAATGTTCACACCTCATGGATTAAAAAAATCTAAACTTGATACATACATAACCACAGACACACAAACACAATTAGGAAGAAACCCAGAAGTACATGGTTGGCTCAAAGAAGTACATAAAAGAAAAAAAAGAAACTGAATTTAAAATAAAATGGTCTGAGACTGCTGGAGGTGGCGGAGGCAGGGGTTTGCCACCCCTTAAGGTCGGAGCGTACATCCTGGCTCGGCACGCACATGCCACTGGCTGCGTCCAGGCAGTGTATGTCTGGGCGTCAGTCTGCTCATCTGTAAATGGAGATAATGTCCTCAGCTCTGATAACGGCTACTAACATAAATGCCCGCCTGGCCTCAGGAGGGAGTCCACAAGGGGGAATATTGTTGTTCTTCTCAACTGCTACTGAAAAGGATGAAGGTTGGGGCTCTGTGATTACAAGGCCCTGGACAAGGCTGGGAAAAAACAGCCTTAAAACAACAATGAGAAAGAGAAATTTAAGTCGTATGCAAGGAGCGATCATTAAGACCCTATTTAAAAATATTAAATATCATTTAGGTGGAAAAGCAGTAAGCCAGAATGTTAGTCCTTAGATAGTGATCAAGAAGAAAAATTCGTTAGTCCATGCCAATTATTGGTGCTTGGGGTAGGTTGACACAAATTCTATTAAGTATGTGCCAGCTTCTTCTTTAAAACATTTTTTAAAAGTTCTCTATAAACAAATGTTTCAGGTGTTACTAAATTAAATGGGACAGTTTATTATTAGTTTTGACCAAAACCACCATCAACAAAGACTACTTGAGACATCTTGTAATATTTTTCTTTTCCTGATGCATATAGAAATCTATGAGAATCGCACATACAAAACTCAGGAGAGAGCAATCTACAATCTGATTCCTAATCTGCTCAACAGTCTTCCTGAAAGCAGTTTTTCTAGCAGCCAAACTACTAAAACCTGCACTTTTGCTTTGGAAAAGTCTCATCATTTTTATTCCTCTGATCATATTTAGTCTTTAAGCTGTGTTACAATTTTCTTGTGAACAGTCTTCATTTTGGTCCCATTTCCATGCACTACCATACCACACCTTTAAGTTATGCTCACCAAGGCATTTCTGTTGACTCTCCTACTTTTTTTTTTTTTAAGATTCATTTATTCATGCATACAGAACTGGGGTGCAGGCCAGAGGTGCAGGGGTGATGAGAGGAGTCACCAGAGACAGAGCAGGGAGCAGAATAGGCAGAATCATGAAGTACACTGCTGAGGGGAGCAGCGGGGAGACAGGAGAGGTCTGCCGCACCCTATGGCCACCTCCCTGGCCAGGGATCGAACTCCCATTGAAGTGGCTGCACCTAGATTCATAGTGCAGTGCTTTAACCTGTTGTGCTGCCAGCGAGGGCCGGACTCCTACTTTTAAAACAAAATTCTAAACACTTATGAATTCCATTCTAAAAGTGGAATTTCGACCAGTAACTTTGCTCTGATAATATGATATGTTACCAAACACCTGAATACATTATATCTTACTTTCAACTTTTCACCAACCTGGCCTTTTCTGTCTGACGTCCCTCACCTTCCCAGTATTTTCTCAGGAGTCTCTGGTAAGAGGCAAACCTGTTAGTCATTATTTTATCTGACTTAATTTGGCCCATCTCCTCTGCCACATTCTGCTCAGCCAACCGTGCTCTCTCAAAGTGTCACCTCTGTTCAATTCTAATCTCTTACATATCTTCCAGACTGAACCATTTGTTGTAGAAATCTTCTGTTCTCTCTCCATAGTTCCAATAGTGTCCCTGTTATTAACTGTGCTTATTTATGTAGCTGAACTTCCAAAATACTCAGGTAGGGTTTTCTGTGTGTGGTTTATCTACACATACAGTAGGGCTTCGGAGTTCTTGGTTTTACTTCCAACATTAAGTTCTGCTCCTCCACGGTAATGCCACATCTCTCATCATTCAACAGATACACACTAAACATCACTGTTTTCTAGTCCTGGGGCTACTGTAGCAGACAACACAGACACAAATCCTTTCCTCATTCATCTCATATTCTAGTGGGGAGACAGACACTAAACAAAAAGTTAAATAATCTAAGTGCTAAAGTCCAGAGGGGAAGGGAATAGGAGACATACAGAGAGGAAGAAATAGGTTACTATTGTAAAGAGGACATCTCTGTGTAAATCTGGGTAAAGGACTGAAGACCTTTGCATTCTCTTGCTACTTCTTTAGTAGCTTTAAGCTTCCATAACAGTAGCACTACAAATACTAGTACTAACATAGTGATGGAAATGCTCCAATTCAATAATACCAGTGTTACCACTTTCTCTAAGACATTCAGAAGAGAGTCAACAGGCCGTGTTTACACAAAAGATCATTGATTATGGAGTATGTTCATTTGTCCACAAAGCAAAAACAAAAAGTCATTCTGCAAGGTAAAATTCAATGTAGCCCACTTCTAAGAGCCTAAACTTTGGAAAACAAATGAGAATGTCATACATCCTAATAGTATCTGCATTTAAGGAAGTCTATAAAAAATACTGTGATATGGAACCTTTGTTTAATCACTTACACAGTGGTTGAATTTTGGACTTTAACTAAACTTGCTTTTGGGAGTGTAATTACATATGTGTATAACTTATTTTTGTATTACCTAAGTAAGGGGTATCTTTGGCAACCCAGAAAAAGGCACAGACAACTTGATTACATTGTTACTGCAGGGAGCAAGAGAGTCAGGGGTTCTTTTCCTTGAGCTTCTAAATAAGTGCTGTTGTAGAATCTATGTCCACATTCCTAGTCTCCATTACTGAAAGTCTAAAAAGACTTAAAAAAAAAACTCTTATCTCATTTAAATTTTGTAGTGTCCTCCATGTGCATTAAAAATATTTTAAGAAAAACTTTATATCTTTAAAAACTCCCCCAAATTAGTTCATGTGCCCTGACAATGAAGAAAATCTTGGTATTAAGGAAGTCAAATATGGTAAATATTTTATTGGAGGAAAAAGAAGTACACTACTTTTGAAGTGATTTTTTTTTTTTTTTTTTGGCCCAGGCTCAAACCTCATCAAGGTCTAGCACACTAATACCAAGGAGTTAAGTCTCAGAGTCGATATAAAAATGACAGTTCAGGAAAAGGTCAACTTTAAATAGGTAAGCTGAATTTTCACTTCTACACAGTATGCCTGAACAAGTGGCTCGCAATCAACTAGTAAATGCGAAATGAAGGAGACACAAAGAGCATCTATTTTACTTGCCATCTCATTTGTGTGTGTGCAGATATATATTAAAAAGGAACTTTACCTCTCCACTTCGAGCAAAGGCTCATGAAGAGGAAATGGTGGCTCAAAGATGGTTTGAGTTCAGATATTCAAATTCTGCATCATCAAATTTCTGTTTTCTTTATATAGACCTTCTTCCTCAAACACCCTATTTTCTTGTGGTAGCCCATGAACAATGAGTGTGAATGCTCACTGATGCAGCAGCAAAACTCATCTAATTCAGACCTCACACAGTTCAGCCAATACCCACTCGACTACCAGAGGCCTCACATTTAACAAAGTGTAAACCAATTTAGTATTTTGTGATTTTGTATCTCAAACAGAAATATAAATGCTTTCCATGTTGCAAAATTACCAACGGTTTACCTACCAGAGAACTCAAATATGCATGTGGTCATTTTGAGACAACTTATAAAATCAAAAACATTTCCAGAGAAAACTCAGAATTCAAAGTGTCTAGATGGTAAAATCAAGCTCTAACTTCCCAGCTGTTAACTAACATCAGATGAAAACATTCACTTAAAATAAAAGAAAATGTTAGAATTTTTGTTTTTAACTCATGAAGCCTTTAAGCTTTGGCAGTCACACATGACTTAACCCTCCTTGTTTGAAAACATGTAGATGGGGGGGGTGGTGTGGTAGTGTTCCAAATTCTCACTGCACCTTCCCCCGCATCGCCCCAAACCTCATTCCTGTAGAAAAGACAAAAAGGGTGCATTTCTTTTGGGATTAAGGTAGCACATCTTTCATATTTTAAGACAGAGAAAGGCTTTTGGTGAGAAACTTGGCTTGAGAAAGGGCAGAAAGTCAGACTAGCCTGCTTTGTGTACACAAGGAAGCCCCTTTATCAGTTATCAGCAGCACAACAGATATGAGGTGGCCGAATTTCCAGAGCACTTATTACCAATTTCACTTACTTGGTACTTAATCACTTATGCTTTTACTTCATCCTGTAATTTTTCATTTGTTCATGCTTTATTTTCCCAACTACATTTAGACACTGCCTCACACATTAAAAATGACCAACAAATATCCCAGATGGCTCAATAACTAAGCCATATAATTGATTTCCAATTACTGAAATAATATAGTCTGACAATACAGGAGACTGTGAGAGAAGTAGTTTCTGATGAGTAAAGGCCACTGGATCATTTCCTTACTTAAAATTGTCCTGTTCTAACTAAAGTGCCTAAGTTCCATAGTATCCCTATTATTGAGATACTATACATCCTGAATAAGGTTTATTATAGTAGACTTTTGATGTTTTGATTAAATTTACAAGTATTCAAGTTCAAGACAGCAACTTGGCTAAAATATTCACACACAGTATACAATTTAATTAATTTTAAAATCTTCCTATATAAAAATAGGTATTTCAAATAAGTAAAATGCCCAAAATCACAAGCTGCAGAATTTAAAAGGGATCCATTCAGATTTTCAATGACACATGCTGCAAGACAATTACACACTCTTATTGGAAAGCTTTCATCGAACCCACTCTCACTTTGCTAGAAAACCTAACCCCATGGTCCGGCATTGGTAAGACAGTCATCTCAAACTATTGATTCTAGCCCTAAAATTAAGCCCACCTCCTCACCAAAGAGTATGACGACAGCTATCTTAAGATCTTCTTTTCCAGGCTCATTTTCACAGCAACAGAAAAGTTACTGCAGTAAGTCTATTGACAATGCAAAACAAATACATCCGTTTTTTTTGGTGCTACAAAAGCTGCCTCATTTCTGAGAGAAAGCAACTTCCTATTTCACTAAGAAATACTTCCTGTTTCGCTAATAAATACACTGTTCCCCTATTCCCAATATATGGAAGCAGGTTTCTCCTGGAAATTCTGTTAATATTCTCTACATCTGCCACACCACAGACTGGACCAGGTCCAGCAGCTTCATCCTCTGCCAAACTAAAACACGGACTCAAAGGAAGGAGGGATCTGCTCTTGAATCTTACTCTATGAAGCAGTAAATATTCAGTGGAGGGTTGGGAAAAACAAGCCAAATAAAAAGTGTGTACTATTTAGTTGTCCATGTGAAATATCATTCAAATTATTTCATTATGACTTTTTAAAAGTGCCAATAATTATTCAGGCCCTACCATAACTATATATTTACCTAGTCCTTATGTAACTAAATGCAGTTTTTAATTTGTTAATCAAACATTGGGGTAGTAAATTAAAAGTCTTACCAAACCTCTATTATAATACATCTTGACCATTTCAATCATTTTAGCTAAGAAACCAGTCAACAGTATAAGAGATAATAAGTTTTAAAGATTTTTAAGAATGAATAAAAATGAAAAAATGATACAGCATCCTTTCAAGCAATCATAACTTAGTCAAGGGGAATAGTTCTATCTACATTCCTGATTGACTTTACTTAAGAGATACATGATAACACAGCACTAAATCTGAGCAACTGAGAAATGAGAACTTCGTATAGAACTGAAGTCGATAACTACAGCGTGAAACTGAGAACTCAAAAAAACTTAAAGCATTACCTTTTTGGCACTTTCAGGACCTGATTCATCAAAGCGAAATCTGACAATTCTGAAATCTTTACAGTAAATAATTAATTCTGTTGGATTAAATTTCAACTTCTGATTGGGACCTAGGACTTTCTGCTTCCTTTTATGATCATTTACTAAAAAAGAAAAATAAAGAAAAAAATGTGTAAAAATTCTTATTACTCACTTTTTAGTATACTTCTAAAAAACTCTTATTGAAATCATTGTTAATCCACCCAGAATTTGAACACTGCTTTCCTGCAGCCATTCATATTTGTCTATCATTCCAAGCACTTTGGGGGATCAATTTTAACTCCGTATATGAAGATTTTGTAAATGAGTCTTTCTACAAAACCACCACCATCTAAACATACTTAGTGCTTAAAATTTTAATTATAAAGAGGGCAAAGATTTAGAATATATAAATAGCAATACATTTCACATGTCCATTTGAAAATACTTTCTTCATGTTTCTGGTACTCAAAAAAGAGAGAGAGAGAGAGAGAGAAATGAAAGGGGAAAAGAGGAGATCAACAGAAATAAAATTCCAACCCAAGTATTTAAGATGGCTGATTCCTAAGCATTAGTGCATCCCGAGTAGAATCAGCTTTGATGAAGTGAGAAAGAACACTACCTACCTGTAACAATTTGCTCAATACATGTTAAAGGAACATCATGTTCACCAAGAAGGAGGTTTCTGTAATGGAATTTCTGAAACAAAAAATGATGTTCACATTAAGTCTTTTACTGTACCATCACAATGAGCATTATTTTTAGGTGTAATGAGAACTGTGGTACCTATTCTAAAAAGAAGAGGCTTTTTATCTGTGTAGCTATGACAAGTATAAGGGTGCAGTATCTTGGAACCCAGTTTAGTAAGTAAGGGAAAAAGAAAGAAATGCTGTGTTCATGTTGACTTTGTACCTGTGTTTTACATAGTTTTTTTTTTAGAGACAAACACCTTTACAATAAAACAGTATGTAAGTAAAACATACCTGTAATGGCATTGGGTCATCCGTAATAAATGATATTTTGAAGTTACTGCATATCAGCTTTCCCCACAAATCATACTGACTTGTGTCTGTTGCAATGCATTTTCTCACAAAATTGACTTCATTTACAACGATTTCTCCTTAAAAAGAAAAATACTGTCAGCTACAACTGTACCATAGTGTCCAACACTTTATTGTATAACCTAGAGGGACTACTTCATGATGATGATAGTAACAAGGAAAACGAACGCTAAAAGCTGTGTGTTCACACTTAGAACATTAATAGTAACAAGGGGTATGCTGGAGTTTAAGACACAGAAAGGAGACGAAGCGTGAGAAACCTGAGAGGGTGGAACAGCATGGCTCACTGGGTCTGCGCTCTTGACCACAGCCACTGCTCCTTCATCACGCCGCACTTGATTGTGCTCCCCAGCATTGTACTGTTCACAAACTGAAGGTCTGTTGGTGCCATTTTTCCAATCCCAAGGGCTCACTTCATGTCTGTGTCACATTTTGGTAATTTTCACAACATTTCAACCTATTAGTAAGGTTGTGATCTTTGATATTAGTGATCTTTGATATTAATAATTACTCTGAAATACCATGAACCGTGCCCATATAAGACTTCACATGAACGTAATAAATGTGTGTGTTCTCACCACTCCACCCACTGGCTAGGCCTGTCCCCCTGCTCTCTCTCTCTCAGGCCCCACTTTTCCCTAAGACAAAAAATACTGAAATTATAATAGATCATTTCATAACCCTTCAAAGTCCTCTAACTATTCAAGTAGAGGGAAGAATCACACATCTCTCACTTTAAATTAAAAGCTAGAAATGATTAAGCCTAGCAAGGAAGGCATGTTGAAAACCAAGATAAACCGAAAGCTATGGCTCTTTTACCAAACAGCCAAATTGTGAATGCAAAGTAACAGTTTTTAAAGGAAATTAAAATACTACTCCTGTGACACACAAAAAAGATAAGAAGTAAAATAGTCTTATTGTTTATATGGAGAAAGTTTTAGTGGTCTGGATAAAAAAGCAAATCGGCCACAACATTCCCTTAAACTAAAATCTAATCCAGAGCAAGGACACATTCTCTCTAGTTCTAAAAGTTAAGAGGTAAGGAGCTGCAGAGAAAAGCTGAAGATTGGGCCATGAGGTTTAAGTAAAGAAGCTGCCTTCATAACATGAAAGCAAAAGTAAGCCAGCAAATGCTGATGGAGAAGCTGCAGCAAGTCGTCCAGATAATCCTACTAAGCTATGATGAAGGTGGGTGCCCAAATACCAGATTTCCAATTCGGGGAGACAGCCCGCTGTAGGAAGACTGTCACAGCCAGAAGAGTCTGTGCCTGGCTTCAAAGCTTCAAAGAACAGGCTGACTCTCAGATGAGGGGCTCAAGTTGGTCACTTAAAGCTGAAGTCAACGCTCATTGACCATTCTGAAAATCCTAGTCCTCCACTCTACCCTAAATCTACTCTGCTGGTGCTCTGTAAAGGGTAAGCCAAGTCAGGACAACAGCACCTCTGTTTACAACATGGTTAACTGAATACTTAAAGCCCACTGTTGAGAAACATTGCTCGAGAAAAAAACAAAAGTGCCTGTTGAAAGATTACAATGCTCACTGGCATTGTACTTGGTCACCCAAGAGTTGTGCTAGAGATGTACAGGGTGATGAAAGTTGTTTTGATGACCGCTAATACAATCTAATCTGCAGCCTATGGATCAAGGAATCACTTTGACTTTCAATTCTCAGTATTTCAGAAATACTTTTTGTAAGGCTATGGCTGCCATTGTGATTCTTCTGATGGTTTTGGGAAAAATCCATTGAAAACCTTTCGGAAAGGACTCACAATTCTTGACGCCATTAAGAACATTTCTGATTCATGGGAGAAAGTCTAGGTAGCCACACAAACAGGAATTTGAAAAAGCTGATTCCAACCCTCATGAATTACTTTGAAGGGGTAAAGACTTTAGTGGAGGAAGTCACTATAGGACCTGACTGAAGGTCACACAAAATACAACAAAGCATGTAATCACACAAGATTAGCAATGCAGTCCTTAGGGAGATATTAGGGGGAAATCCTAAAGGTAAGAAGTTAAGCTGGAGAGAAGCGATGACAACAGAAACAAAGGTCTAAATAAAGAATAAGGTGTTTGGGAGAGGCAAGGAACCAGCCTGATGGCAGCAAACATCACCACTGGGAAACAGTGCAGAGGGGAGCAAGGTAAAGCATTAGCAAACTACAGGCATTCACAAATTTGGGTTTTATCCTGCTTAACAGGATTTCATGTATGGAGGTTCATGAAAGGTCTGTGAGCAGGAGCTGCTAGGTACAGATAGACTAATGGCTGGGAGTAAGGCAAGTCCTGCAGCAGCAGCCTGGGGAAGAGAGCACAGGCCACCCCCACACTCTAGAGCTTCTATAGGTGAGGCGCAAACCTAAGCTAGGACAGTGTCATTGACATAGCTCATGGCTCAAGGGGCAAGTTTCAAGTACTTTGCTCTTTCAAAAGCAATGTATGCATGAATCGAAACAGTACAATGATCTCTCCAAAGCCTATCTACAAAAAGATTTAAAACAAAACATATAACACACCTCAAGAAGGTCTTTACCTTTAAGGGATTCATAAAGCAAATGAGGAAATAAGACAGTGAAGCAAAAAACAAAAACAGAACAAACATAAAGATCCAAACTGACTAGTTAGACACCAACAAAGACTACTTTCATGTTCTAGATGGCCCATGGCTGTGTTTCTCTGATTGACAGTCAGCGCACTCATTATCCATCCATCCAAGGAATAGTTAATCTTGACACAAAGTGCTACAGGCATCATAGATGGGAAGAGGAAAAGAGCTGAGCTGACCACAGCCTTAGCTCAAGGCTGAGGCGCAGAGAGAGTAGGCACTCGAGATGCAGAGCACACATCACCTCCTCCCCCAAAGCTGGCTCAGGTGACCTTCCACCAAGCTCTCACAACCTTTACTCTCCGCCACTTAGGCTTTCCCCAGTGAACTGAACTAAGAGCAGGATTTCTTCTCTTTCAGATTGTTACTCCTCTGCCAAGCAGCACTGGACAAGCACTCAATACCTGCTGAACAATGAGCTCATTATGGTTAGCCATAGAATTCAAGTCATCCTCCCTCCTACCACATAGATTCTTAGTAAGACCCATGTCCCAGAGCCAGGAGAGAGACAAGGCCATCAGCCCCACTCAATGCAAATCTCACATCCTTACAACAAAGCGGCTGGCACTCCACCAGGCTCTGCTTCAGCAGCCAGTGACAGGAAGTCCACTGGCTCCTAAGACATTTCATTTTCTGGCAACTGAAATTGAAAGTCGCTCTTTAAGCGGGTCAAATTTTGTCACTGCTATGGAAAGGACACAGTCACCGACAGCTCTTTTCCCTCACTCAGTTTTAGAGCACTCCCTCTAAACTGACATCCAGTCAGCCCTTCATCTAGTTTCAGAGCATAAGTCTGTACCCTAGTGTCACAGCATGTGGACAGGTAGGGCCTGCAGCTTAGTGGTTAAAGGCACAGCCTGGGAGTCCGGCTTAGAATTCTGGCTCTGACCTCTGAAGTAACTCTGCCTTTATAACTACAGTTTTCTCTTCTGGTAAATTGAAGAAAAACTGATACCCAGCTAATAGGGATGTTATGAGGAGCAATCTGTAAGCTATTGGGGTTGCCGGAAAAGTCATGACACATTTCAGTTAAGGAATATAGTTCAAATTGTTAACAAATATGTATGAACTAGTGTAGTAAAAAAGAGAGTTGTGCACCTTTTGTGTTATCTGAACTTCAAGGAAAATGGAACCTGGGACCTTGAGCACCATTAGAACTCTCCAAAGATCACCAATTTTTTTAAGATCTGGTAGGAGGGAGGGTGACTTGAAATGCAGTGCTAGCAAGAATGAGACCAGTGCCTCTGCTTCTCTCAGTGTGTGACCTTACTCTTCTTGGACAGGTTTTCTGGAACAGCGATGCCAAAAAGAGCCCTGCCCTAAGCATCAATCTGCATGCACTTGGAGCAGATCTCAGGCTTACTGCCTGAGGTGGGTTATTCATCCCTGCTGGTCACACTGGAACCTAAGGACAGGCAGAAACAGGGAAGCCCAATTTGCTAAAAGAGGGAGGGTGCATCTTTCAGAAGATGGTGGAAAGACCCCCAAGTAGACAAAATCAGTACTCTGAGTGCTCATTAAATTGCACCTTGAATAGTTCAATTTCTCAATGAATGGCTCCCGGTTCAGTGTCCACAAACCAGTGTTCACAAATTGTTTTGTATACTACCAATAAAGTGTTCATAATGTTTATTTCACTAACTTCAAAACAAAAGAATATACCTGTGCCAAAGTAACTAAAAGGACAAAAATCTCAGAAGAGAGGAAAATCCTTTAAATGAAACTGAGTTTTATGAAGAAAGTTGCATTTTTCTCAACTTGAACAAGGTCTGTAAAAACTTTTTCCTCATCTGATGTCAGTCAGATTCTGGCTAGAATCTGGGAACCACTGATACAGGCCAGTCTTCTACCTGTTCAAGGCAGCTCAGCCAGCACAGAGCCAGGCACCTGAGAGATACAACCCACCTGTCCAGCAGCTATCTGCTGAGCATCTGGCAATACTTGCTTTTAACAAGTATAAGTTAGAATATACACACACTACTCTTTAAAATTCACACTCTTCCTATTTTCAAAAAAATATATAAAATCATTAAAAGAGCAAGATTCATGCAATGGTGGAAAGATGAAGAGAAAGCCAAGGTAGATGCTTTCACAGAGCACTGCATTTTAATTCCAGGGTCAGCTATAATTTTGTTGAGAGAGCAGAAGTGCATGGCATAAAAAAAGTTTCCCCTTACTGCTGAATCTGAGGGTGTGTGTGTGTGTGTGTGTGTGGGTGTGTGTGTGTGCGCGCGCGCGCGCGGGCGTGAGCACACATGCTGGCAATACTATTATAATACGTGGTCTGAGGGGGTCCTTTCATTCAGTCACATTCAATACACATCTCTGCACTTTACCAGACTTTAGGGCCACAAAGTCGAATTAGGAACTATTTCTCAAGGAATTTCAGGAACTAGGCAAGTTGAAAATTGCTAACATAAACCATAATCTAAATTAAATTACTAGTCAGTTTCTTCTGTTTTCTTAAGATGTAGATCATCTTAAATTTAAACTTGAGTTCCAAAAGTGCTCACGGTGATGGCATACAAATACATAATTCATTTTGTATTCTAATTTTCATCTGCTTGTTGAATTAAAAGTTCAAACCTTGGGCAAATGAAGTAGGATATCCTTGAGACCAGGCATTACGCCAAAGCGTAACATGCAATCGGACATCACATGCATCTCTGAACAATTGCTTCTTGTGCTGTGTGCCTGTGTAAAGCCCCAGGTGACATGGCCAAGTTTTCTCTTGGTTTTGGGCTGTAACAAAGGCCAGAGCTATAGCATTGGTTCTCTCAGTAACAGTCCTAGCCCAGCCCAGGACTTTAGGTTAACCATGCTTCAGGTCATCTACACTTGTCTTTCAGATTTCATGGCTAGAGTAGGAAGCAGCAGGCCAAAGAAGGAGTGGCAGAAGCTTGAGTGTGACACAAAAAGTGAAGCAAAAATAAAAAGGTCTCTTGGTGGCCAGAAAAAGGAACGGGAAGACAATGATGAGAAGATAAGGGAAGGAGCTGGGAAGAGGGAGAAAAGACATACAGACTGAGGATCGGCTAAAGTTCTACAAGGAATGGGCAGGCATAAATAGAGTACTGGGTACCAGAGCCTTCATGTACATACAGACAGAACCAATGGGAGAAAAAGGAACACTATGAGAAGATTCAGATTTAGGCTCTATTTTTAGGAAAACTAAACCATTTAGTCACGAAATAAGCTTACCTTTTCCCCAGGAAGCTCTGATTTTTTTACTGGAACGTTAAGCTTTTAGTAAATTCTATAGAATGGATAATCCTTCGGTGTAAAGTTCTTTATTAACATTTACTAACAGTTTTCATGAATATATCTTAAATAAAACTTAAAAAAAATAAAATGCCACCATTTGTCGCTAAGACCATGCTCTTTGTTGGTGTTAAATTATAATATGAGAAGAGAAATAAAAGCCTAAGAACAGGGCCAGTTCAGACAAAGTAGAGGAAGCCAAAGTTCAAGAGCTGTTCCCCACAGCTGACTTTTAAATGCCTGGAATGACTAAGACTAAAACAGAGTGGACACAGGGAGCAAGTTACTTATTAATTCCATTGCTCACTCTGAGTAAAAGCACAAAGGACTATTTAGTACATACTTTTGGGTAAAATATTTATAACTCCTATAATAAAGTTTAAAACAACTTTTAAAGAGTTGGCATCTGCCATATGGAACCACAGGTTAACGTTTTAAATGTAACTGTTCTTACTTAATAAACTTTCACAAAGCACAGAAGGCAAAGTTTCAATATTTGTACAATTACTATCGCACTGTATATAAAGGAAGTTTAAATCATTTTACTAGATTTGTCCTTAAGTACTGCTTGAGGCTTTCAAATATTGATGGTAGCCACACAAACTGGTATTTGATTATATTTCAGGTTTAAACAAGTGTTTCTGAGTCTCTGGCTACCTCCCCCATAACCACTGCAAATGAGTGACTCTTCCTAATTATTGCACAATTTGAAATACCAATCAAATAGCATATTATATATTTTAAATCTAAACTATCTGCCATCAATCCCTACCTTTACATCTAAGGTCCTAAACATAAATTCTGTTCCAAACCAGTGTTTCTCAACTGGAGAAAAAAATGTGTCTCCCCTCCACCCCCAGGCCAAAAATAAATAATAAAGATTTGATAACATCTGAGGACGTTTTATTTGTCACACCTAGAAGGTGGAGGAGGAGGGTACTACTGGCATCTAGTGGGTAGAGGTCAAAAATGCTGCCTAACACTTTATAATGCACAGGATAATCCTTATAACAAAAAAAATTGGGGCCCAAAATATCAATAGTACCTCAGCTGGGGAGCCCCATTCTAACCCAAACAAGTGAGTCTGCAAATACAGCCCGCACCTTCAAAAAAAACTGCCAAGTAATTCAAAGTTCACTAAGCTTATTATTGGTATTTAGACACAGATATAATAAAACTTGCTTTTCCATACTATTAAAATGATAATCTGTTAATCATTAAGTCACAAAGTTGCAGACACACACTAAGAAAACTTTCACTACCTAAGCAATTAAAGATGCAAAAAAAGTTCGACAGACAAAAAAGAAAAAACGAGGTAGTGATCAACCTTATTCTTCTATGATACTTAAGATTTCAGGGACAAGGGCCAATCAATCGCTATTTTTGCTTAGTTTTAATCAACTTTTTTGTTTTTTGCACCCCCCCAGTCATTGTATTTTTAACTGGACAAAGTTTAAAGGAGGAGAAGAGTTAACCACATGATTCTAGGGTAGATTATTCAATCTTAGACCAGAACCCGCCATTGAAGTACCCGTCAGTACTCTGTTTACCTGGCAAAAGGACTGGCTCCAGTTTTTTAATCTTCGGTTCCGAATTAACCTTGTCGTCAGTCTGGAAAACATTGGCAAAATAAATTAAGACTTCTTCCCCTCCCCGGCGAGCTACTAAAGCAAATTTTGTTCTCGAAGTCATGACACAAGTGACATGCGACAGACACAGAACTCCTAACATTCGTTTAAGATCTGCACATTAGCGAATTGGTAGCCTCCCACTAAAGCATGGAAAGTGCCCACGCCGCTTCCAGGGGTTCACATCTGTGACAGTTAACCTCCCCTACCAGAGTGCCACAGTCACATGAGGGGGGGGCACAGGGACCCCGTTGCCAGCTCGGGGCGCTCCCTCGGGTCTCGGGGCCACAGGTCTCCGGGTAGGGAAGAGCTGCGGCAAGTCGCGGACTTTTACAAGTTTCCCCGGAGCCAGCGGGGGCTCCCGCGAAGGGACAGCGAGGTTGGGGTGGCCTCCCGAAGTTCCCCCTGGGCCGGCCCGGCGTCGCCCCGGAAGCGCCGGGGACTGGGGCGCCCGCGGGTAAAGGGCTGTTTACCTGGGGCGGCGGCAGGAGGTAGGACCTGAAGGTAGGTCTGGGCGGTTTGAGGGAGAACATGGTGCCGCCGCTTTTTCGCCGCGGCCCGGTCGGAAACCTGGAGCCGCCGCGGGCCAGCGACGGCGCTGACGCCTCCGGACGCCCGCGGGCTCTGTGTTCCCGCTGCGGCCGCCCAGGCCCCGTCTGCTGC